AGCTGTTCTTGTTCATAAGCTTGTTTGCTCTTTCCGCTCATTTCACTAAGCCTTTAATAAAGGTGCATCGAAGTGTGACACTGATAACGAGAAGAATTCAATGATTCGTAATGGAAGTGGCAACAACTGTCAGTCATTTCAGCACAGGGCAGCCGTGCAGCACGGTGTTTTCGAGATACAAGAAACAAACGGGGAAAGGCAGGAACTGTGGTGAAAAATGTCATCGAGTGCCTACCTTACAATTTGAAAGGGGATATGCAAATTATAGATAGATGAAAAAAAGGAAGGTACGAATAATAACAAAGGACCACTGTACGGACATTTGACATAGTTGGTATTTGTTCATCTTGATGCATGCAAACAGAGACGCACAATGTCGTCGTTTTTATTTTATTTTGTCATTGTCTATTAGTGCATCCCCTCCAAAAGTTTTGCATCAGGATGAACGTTTAATGAGAACACACAGATCTGCATATGGTATCTTTACCACAACGCTGTTAGCCGCGACTGCTTATTGATCGCCCATAGTGCCTCTATAGTACTCTTACCCCCGTATTCAGAAACGCTGCTTGACTTGAACTGACTTGAAACCGTCTTCATAGCAGCGCGTTCGAAACGCGTCTGTGCAGCATTGAAGTCGGTGGCAAGTCAAGTTCAAGTCAAGCAGCGTTTCTGAATACGAGGGTTAGGCCTTCACAACTTGTTCTCAACACGTGCGCCAACACTCCACAAGTGTTCTCAGAACCCAGTCGACTCTATAGTAACCAGAATAGGGTTCTCGCAAGCTTGCACAATGTAAGAAAGCGTAAGTCGGTGTCCTGGGATTGCCGCCTCCGAATGTAGTCTTTTCACCAATGCGTTTAGCCTTAAGAACGCATCTTTGAGCTTCGACGGACGATCAGTTGCAGAAACGCTCAACTTTCTCTTTGCCCTTAGGTGAGGGAAAACGAAGCTAATGAAAAAAAAACGTAAACGTGCCAAGCGTGAGAGACGCTGGGAAGCCCACCATATTTTTAATTTTTAGTACCACCCACGCTTCTCCTTGCGTCCATGTGAACGCTGCAAACAGGCCGGTAATTCGGCGCGGCTTCTGACGGCGCCAGGTGCGGCGCGCCCATGCCGGGCTCGGAATAGCAGCCGAACGTTCGCACGGGACACTTTTGCGAAAGATCGCTTCACTGCCCACGTCTTTGAGAGCTTGTGGCCTGCGCCTGGTTGAGCGCCGAACACCGGTTGAGTTTAGAGCGAAGGGTGAGGCTGGTGAAGGAAGAGAGGAGGGAAGGTGGAGAGATTGAAGAGGAGGAGGGATGGGAAACCCCTCGCCCTTGCTCCTTCCTCGTTGTCACCCCTCCTTTTTTCTTTATTTTTTTCTAACGTGGTTAGTCGACGTCGCATCGTTATGGGTAGTCTTCCTTGCCCTGTTTACCCGACGGCGGTTGCTCGTACCGACGAAAGAAGGGACGTAGGACGTCCTGTTAGTTTAGTTGACCACGCCCTGGTTTTAGTGTACGTCCTCTTCTATCCGCTGTGTACACGCCGATAAATGTCTGTGGAACGGTAAGAGCGTAAGAAGAAGGACGTGACCTGGGACGCACGAGTATGGTCCATACAGTGGTCGCATAAGAACTCATGCTTGCGTGACGTTATGCCGGATGCTTTCGAGGGAGGGCCTCATATAAGGTGGGTGGCTGTGTACACGGAACTATTTATTTATTTATTTTCGTACGCCACTCGAGCTCAAGTTTACTTGGAAGCCACGCGGAACTTCCCGTTTCTGTTTTTAATGCTGCCGTTTCGGAGGCAGTTTCACTTCCTTTGGAGCGAATACATGAATACGATACCCATATACCCGACGCCTACGGCGAGCATTTGGTGTTAAAGATGCGCGCCGGTTTGCCTTAAAAAAAAGCGGCCCGCTTGAATGCGGACGCGACTGTGCATTCATTACACGCTCGAGCGGAGTTGCACGACGTTTCTCGTTGGCGATAAGCGCGTAAGTGTTTGTTCATTGATAGCTGATTGCCAGCTACTATTTCGGAGCCATTCTGCACCCGAAGAACACGGGACAGGACCACTAGAAACAACAGCATTACAAATTTATTGGTCACGAATTGTTTCTCTTGATCAGAGTTGGCGTGAAAAGGAGGTCATAGAAAAGTTGAATCCTTTTTCGACAAAATAGTTCAGGTATAGTTTAGGATCTTCTTTCATAGACATAAAAAAGGATCGGTGGTCTAGTTAGGCGTCACGCAGCGTCAGGTAGCACACGCTAATGGTATAAAGAAATGTAACATGCCCCGCTACGTACGTAGGGAAAGACGCGAGGGTGCAATTATACACTACGGCAAGACTGGGCGGACACACAGCTGTTCAGCTGAATATAGTGTGCTCACATGCATTGAATCCGAAATGATGGTTTCGTACATCCACAAGACCTGCATATTAATAGTTTATTAGGTAATTAAAACTGAGCGTATTTCTTATTTCCCGTCATAATTAGAACTATTTTGTAACGTGGTGCATTACTAGCTCAGCTTATGATATATTTAGGTGCCAGCTAGACCTGATAGACGGTAAAAGCAATCATATTATCTAATCCTATGCCAAGACATTGATTGGCTCCCACGCTTGTATTGTGATTTTCGCTCGTTTAACCGTACTAGAGATTCAGAAAACCGCAGAAAAAAAGGCAGGAAAATTAACCATGACAACACATACGTGGTCAGGTAGTTGTCCTGTGTTTATAAAAATTTATTCACAGACAGTGGACATCGATTTCTTTTGCACAGTACATTTCAACAGAACAGAACACGCACAGACACAGAAAATTTCTACAAAAGCAAAAATATTTCTATGCATATGTACATTACATGATCCTGCGTAAAGGCTGTTACTTATTGAGCCTGTTTGCATAGCGACCTTAGTAAGAAATATTACACGGCTTTAAACGGAACCTCCTAATATAGGACGTGTTGCAATGGGTTCTGCTGTATATTTTCACCAACTGCCTGATGTTTTTAACGCCCACCTTAATAAATATAGGCGCACTACCACTCTTGCATTCACCCCCATCAAGATGTGGCCTCCACAGCCACAATTCTGAGATCAAGCGCTTGCATTCGCAGAGCAACGGCATATGCACGCAGGTAGTAACCTTAGCATATTGGTTCATATTACCAGTCCGATCAGTGTTAAGCTTTACATTCAAATAATCTTGTTCAATCTGACGGTGTAACGCAGGTCTCCTGGACGTTGTGGGCGCTTTTATCTGCCACGCTACTGCTACAACCAGACACATGTGCAGCGTCTCCCCAGTCCGAGTCTCTATTACGGGCAATGGCGGCGGCGGCAAAGCCCAACAAGGACTACAGTTTTAACATCGACAATGTTTACGCTTCTCCCGCAACCATGGAGAAGTACATGAACTCCTATAGCTTCCCTGGACCAGTGGACTACATGTCCGCCGCCGCTATGTCTCCAGATGGTGGAGCTATGGAATTCTACCCGACAATGACATCTGGTTCCGTCTTCGACAACTTCGCCTTCAGTCCGACGATCAAGGTCGATGAGCTGTCAGCGTACCAGGAGCCCACGGGTCACGTATTCAAGGATCTTAGTCGCGACAAGGGGAAGAAAGTTTATAGAATCAAGGGAGCAGCCGACGAGGACGACACCGAATTCGACGAGGGCAGAACTAGACCTTCGACCACCAAGAACGGCGGAAAAGCTGAAGAGTGGAGACGACCGGACTCCAAGCGGAACTCGGAAGAATCCCGCTCCATTGAAGAGGACGGGGCGGCAGCAACGCCTGGCCGCAGGAAAAGACCGAATGGAGCTTCCGGGTCGTACTCCCGGGGTATTCCCGAACAGGACGAAGACAGTTCGGAGGAAGAAGGAGGAGACAACGCGCCGCGAGAAGATGGGACGTCGCCGGTGACGTCCCTCAGTGGCCGCGACGAGATCGCCTACTCGCGGGGCAACAGTAGGCGTCCTTTCGTTCGCGTGAAGAACAGCGGAGCGCTCACCAGTGATGAAGCATCGTCCTCGGAAGAAGGACAAAGAGCTGCTGCGACACCTCTGAGGAACTACGACTCTGGTCCTAGGGTCAACGGTGAGGTGCGCGGCTCTACGACGACAGCAAATCAGAGGCTCGAGAACGGGCTAAAAAAGAACGTCGGCAATGGTGGCTACGGAAACAGTGGCGAGCTACCTTCTTTCGTTCCGGAGACCAGCAGTAGCAAGGCCCAAGGAGCCTCCAATTTTCGAGGCTCCACTAACGTAAACGACAACGATGGTGTCAGGGACGTGAGGTACAACTCGTACAACGGCAACAACATTGACGACAACGCCCTGCGGATGGCTAGCGGTGCTATGTTCCGTGATAACTTGGCGGCAACGCTCATGACGACGACGACTACGACAACAACGACTGCAAGACCGGAACTCGGAAACGGACTGATATTGCTAAACGGCAATGGTCGGCTTGATGCAGCACAGCAGCAGTCAGAACGATCAGCGAAGTCTAGACGAAGGCCACCTCTGGCCTATACGCCTGGAAGCGCGGAGTACCAGTCAGAGAGCGACGAAGGCAGCAATTCGAGGGATCAGGAGGAGACGACGACTAACGGCTACAGCTCAACCACGGCCCCGGAACCATCCAGTTATTCGTCCGAGGAAGAGCCTGCGCCGCCGAGGCAGGAGAGTGGGTCTTCCGCCGAAGAGAGGCCGCGACAAGAAAACAGGTTTTTCCCCGAAGAGAGGCCGCGACAAGAGGGCAGGTTTTTCACCGAAGAGAAGCCACGACAAGACAACAGGTTCTCCGCCGAAGAGAGACCACGACAAGAGAGCAGGTTTTCCGCCGAAGAGAGGCCGCGACAAGAGAACAGGTTCTCCGCCGAAGAGAAACCACGACAAGAGAGCAGGTTTTCCGCCGAAGAGAGGCCGCGACAAGAGAGCAGGTTTTCCGCCGAAGAGAGGCCGCGACAAGAGAGCAGGTTTCCCGCCGAATTGAGGCCGCGACAAGAGAGCAGGTTCTCCTCCGAAGAGAGGCCGCGACAAGGGAACAGGTTTTCCCCCGAAGAGAGGCCGCGACAAGAGAGCAGGTTTTTCACCGAAGAGAGGCCGCGGCAAGAGAGCAGGCTTTCCGCCGAAGAGAGAATTCACGCGATGAAGAGGCCGACGCAGACCGCGGCGGAAAGGATGCGGAGGCCTGTGAATGGTGAGCTCGGACTAGCCGCAGCAACGACGCCCTTGACCAACGGCAGGGGCTCTGCGACGGCGAACGCACGGCGTAGTGCCAACAATGGCAGAAAACTCGGTGGCTACGCCGCGGCGGCACAAATGCCTCTACAAATGTCCACGCAACCGCCCGCTCTTCCTCCGGCGTCTTCGCTCGTGTTGCTGTCACGGGACCCGACGCCTTCTGCTGACCAGAAGGCCGCAGCAACAGCGACGACAGGTGCCGACCAGAGGCCGGCGGCCACGAATGTCGCCGGTGGGAGGCCCAGGACGCTGTTCCACCAGCAGGTGAGAATTCAAATAGATGGAGCAGAAAATAGATGTTCAGTATGACATGATTCTACTTTATTGGGTTATAAATAAGAGGGGGAAGATGAATGGGAGAAGAAGAATGATAAAAGAAAGGCAAGGAGGTTTTTTGAGCTCATTGTAGCTACTTTGCTCAGAGGAAAGCGATATAAGTTAAAGACGAGAAAAGAGAGAGATGAGATAGGAAGAAAAGCGTGGAGGTTAACCGGAAAACGAGTATATTGTTTGCTACCCTGCACTGGGGAAGGGGAAATGAGAAACAGAAAGTAAGGATAACGGAATGAGAGAGAGAGAGCGCGGCAGGGAGGGGAGAACACACACGCACTTGACTGTAACAATCATTCAACGAGGCAGGTCAATCATAGAAACTTCAGGAGGGTCTTCATCACTTTTCGGCGTGAAGCTTGACCTTTCCGGAATTCCAAAATTAATTTTTTGGGTAGCGGCTGGTCGTTCAGGCACGCAAGCCCTGCTGACAGGGGCTGTCTCTACTAAGGTCCTCACAGCTGTACTCACGTACAGCGTGTCCTGGCTAGTGCTCCAACAGATGCTTCGTTTCCGCGACAAGCTTGCGAAAGTTGATCTCTGGTCGGTCAGCGCCGCAGAAGGATCCGCGTTCACAGCCATTGGGCAGTGGCCACCACTAGTTATAGGCAAGGCGCGCTGATTTAACGAGCAGCTCACCATGGCAGACCTCTGACTGGGCGAACTGGTGGAAGACTCCAAGTCCGTCACCCTGGGGCAGGGAGCAACATCTCCCGAAAAAAGGAAAAAAACTGGATGAAATTGCTAGGAGCAGAAAGCAGAAGCGTTTTATGAAGTCACACTCTAAAGCAAGGAAGGAAATAAGATAACGTATAATATATTATTAGGACATCCGGAATACCGACGCTCAAGAACTGTCGGACGAAATCCTTACTAAGTGCATGCTCTTGAAATGTAAATATGCTTGTAGACATACATGTTCAGTAAATGCAATTGTGTGCGAGAAGTACGGGGATCGATACCCAGCACCACCACCACTTGTAGAGGTGTTTAGTGAACGCTGACGTAAGGGCCGACTGGTAGCTCAATAAGCAAATAAAATCACTTGCCCGGAGCGCGAACGGCCTTCACTAGCAATAAACGGTAAAGACAGACCGAACCACGGCCGCACTAGAGGAGCGCGGCCGTGGTGAAAGTGACTCTCTAGTGCGCGCATGCCGCTCCTCTGGTTCAGCCGTGACCATACCCACTGAATAGCGCTGAAAAAGGTGCCCCACTGTAGCGTATACCCCTTGCTACAGTGGTCTAATCAGCGGTCCGCTAATAAATTCCGAATATTGTGTATATATTATAATGAGCCATCTTTCTTAAAAAAGGAGCAGATTCAATGCAATATAATAAAACAGATGGACATACATTTCTTCGAACTACGCTACCCCAGTTACGTTTTCGATTAACCCATCTTAGTCGGCTCTTCTTTCAAGATAAAGGTATTCCATAAATCATAAAAATGGCCTCCTCTTCACATTTCGCTTTAACTATGCAGCCTTTAACCCTTTTCAGTCTCTCTTAATCTGCGAAATTACTCGGGAAACTCGCGGCGCTACTCCTTAGCATATCTGTCGCTACGGCATGATTGGTTGACCAACGCTGTAAATCCTCAGAACATTCCGCATAATGAATTACTGCATAAGATTTCTGCCGAACACATCAGAGATCATGAACGCACTCATCCATACTGGAAACTTCAACACAGTGAAAACACATTGATAGACATAAAGACGATAACACACGGAGTTTATAAAGTCCCCAGTATCTCTGATCATGGCCACTCAATGAAAAATTGGCGCCGTATCTGCGTGCATCGCTGGCAAAGGTCGTCGAAAAACTTGTATTTTGATGGAGCGAGAGAGCGAATGAAATGAATGAATGAATGAATGAATGAATGAATGGAACCTTTTATTAAATGATAAAAATGGCTCTGGGCCGCAGTTTGGGAATATAGGAGCAAGGTATTATTAAGTGGACAGTGTGAGCATATTAGGATTACGTCAGTTGGCGTTCATCCGTTGTAGTACAAAGTCGCATTTGCCCAAGTTGGTCGACCTTCTTTTAGACCACTCGAAACAGGCCACTTGTACTATAGCATAGGTGGCTAGTGCTTTTTGAGCTTCATCATTACATTGTAGCACAACGCCTAAGCTTCCTATGTTGTCGCATGGCAGGTGTTGGATGTGTGTTCGTCCTCGCGAGAAAGCGTAGTAAACCCAAATGAGGTGGTGTAAATCTGCTCGGCATATTTTTTGACAATGTGGGCATCGACGAGAAGTGTTACCAGTTGCTTGTCAGGCTCCAAACCATTTGTCAAGTACATGAGGTGTATATGCTGCATTGGCCATAACCTTGTTCAAAAATATCTCTTGCTGGCGAGCAATTGCGCACTTGTCGCTCAACAGAAGTGCTGGTGTAGCTTGTGAGAGCCTTCGTTTATTGTCGGTTTTAAGTTTTACACGAATATAATTCATAAAGGATCTGCTAGAAGAGCCTTCACGCATCATTTTTAGATAGGGATAGAGGAGGTCCACCTGGTTTGGCGACGAACTGGGGTGTGGGGTAATGAATGAATAGCCAAGCCCACTCTCTTCGTTTGCCCGTCCATGCCAGTATGGCCTGGTGTCCACAAAATTTCCGCATCGATCCCGCAGTCGTGTAATCTCTTTAGCTTCTTTCTTAGGTCGTTGGCCCCTACGTATTCAGTAGTTTTTGCTGGGAGCTGAGCCACCGCTTCGTACGAATTTGTCAGTATACGATAATTATTGCGAACATTCTCGCTTGTAGTGTTTCCTACATCAATCAGAATAGTGTTGATCTCTCCCCGTATGGCCAACAACTCTGCCTGTAAGGATGCCCCACCGGGAAGCTGGCAACTATGACAACCATTGTGACGGGATGCCGAGCTTGTTCGTTTGTGATTGTGCTTCAGTGTAGATGTCGACTGTGTTGTCAGGTATGCGGAGGCGCTGTCTGCTACCCCTCCCTGCTTAGCTTCCAGCGCTTTCGTCGGGACGAGAAAAGAGATAGTGCAATTGCAGCATGCGACAAACTTTTGTAACTCCACTCGCACTGGACGGATTCTTAAAATTTTTGCGGCGTTAGATTCGTGAGGCAACAAGCTCTTCTAGTGTTTCATTCCATGGTTACTTGAACAAGTGATTCAGGGCCCCTTTAACGCGTTTTGTTAGACAGGTGTGAAGACGAAAACGAGCCCATTTGGCGATTTGTAGGCGCATCTGGGAAGCCTCAAACTACGTCGAAAAAGGCGGGGATAGTGCAGCCATCGCCACTAAAAACTCACACGAACTTTCAAACAGCTCTAAAAATGGACAACTATGTTCATCTAGCGGAAAACATATCATGCCTTTCCCAGAGGCGTTGATCAAGCAAACAGCAAACACTAGATAATGTGCTGCCATATGTGAGGCATTGTGAGGCTCCTTATGGCCACCGAGATGGCGAGTGCGCGGCGTGTATCTTGGAGGCCATGCGACTCTTGCTTTAGATCAAAAACCTGTATGTACCATTCGCGCGTGCGCGCTAGTATGATCAACTGTGTATGTGTGTACAAAACATATTAATGTACAAAACATATTAATAAGTATGCACTACTTAGCGGTTGAAGGGTGCACTATAGGGGCCGGATTTCGCTATTGCGTTCAACTCTTCAAGGCGAAGCTTAATGGTTCCCCAATTTTTCGAAGACTTGTCGGATGGTTGTGCTGCACCTGGCGATTGGGCGCTGTTGTTTCTGTGCGCTCAGCGGGGCAGAGAGCGAATAAAATGTTTATTTGACACTCTGCACAACAAAATCAGCGAGTAGGTCCCGCGAGATATATGAACGCCATTTAGCAGTAATTTCAAGAAGCGAATTTTTCTAGAACGCATAGTGGCACCCCCATGTAGTTTCAGTGATGCTTATATAGAAACACACGTTTTTTTTTTCGGTCATAGCGTCGCATTGCCAGCGCCACGTAATAAGCACTGCGGTCTTAATATTTACGCATCTATGCATTTCAGCAATAAAGTAACGCACTACTGTACTGATGCTTCGCCAAAATATGCATAATATCTGTTTTTTTATTAACAATGTCAGCACGTATGAACGCAGAAACAAGATCAAGATGGATGGTCGCTTCGCGATTCGTCATTCTGCTTAATTGGGTGATTGACAGAAAAGCAGGGAAGTGGCACACACGTACACATAGACAGAGAGAACGAAATTTCTGCGTCAAAGTATCCCAAAAAAGGCTGTCGTCTTTAAAAGCTGCTGTACTCTGATGAACCAGCTCGAATGAATGCCTTCGTGAATTTCACGCAGTATTAGGCGGCAGAATTACACTTGATGATGTATCGCACTCGAGAGTGGATACATTATTAAAACATCATTAAGACATCATTATTAAGACATCATTAAGAGGAATCAGAGGGTGGATTCAGTTCTCACGTAATCAATCCTGTAAATCAGTGCATCAGTTGGCAAGGCTTTTCGCTCATAACATTTCATTCTTAGTTCATTCAAGATCGTACTTCATAGGATCGCACTCGAGAGTGGGACATCATTAAGAGGAATCAGAGGGTGGATTTAGTTCTCACGTAATCGATCCTGTAAATCAGTGCATCAGTTGGCAAGGCTTTTTGCTCATAACATTTCATTCTTAGTTCATTCAAGATCGTACTTCATAGGATCGCATTCGAGAGTGGGACATCATTAAAAGGAATCAGAGGGTGGATTTAGTTCTCACGTAATCGATCCTGTAAATCAGTGCATCAGTTGGCAAGGCTTTTCGCTCATAACATTTCATTCTTAGTTCATTCAAGATCGTACTTCATAGGATCGCATTCGAGAGTTGGACATCATTAAGAGGAATCAGAGGGTGGATTTAGTTCTCACGTAATCGATCCTGTAAATCAGTGCATCGGTTGGCAAGGCTTTTCGCTCATAACAATTCACTCTTAGTTCATTCAGGATCGTACTTCATAGGATTTTTAGTTCAAAAAGTGACCTACGCCAATCCATTGTGCAAAAGTCGGGCGAGACAAACTAGTACGCTTGTAAGTACGACAGTTGAATTAAGTGACAATTAAGTGACAAGTATAGCCATTCCCGTTACTGAAAACAAAGGAAAGAGGCTCAGAGAGTCATTGTCGTCCAAATAGGGGGAAAAATGTATGTACTTTACATGAAGCCTGCTGTGTGAAAGTTACCGTATTTACTTATGTAATTGTAGCATTAGCTAAAGTTGCCCAACTTTTGAAAGGTTCTAGCTAGTTCTGGATACCATAGAACATTAAGGCCTGTAATGGAGATAAGTACACTTAATGAAAGCAAACGCCCACACGTTGCACTATGGAACTTGCTGCTCATGTAGTCACTGAATTGTCTGTTTTCACGATTTCCTGCCAGACACTCCTCTCGAAAAGGTGATTGATTGATTAATTTGTGGGGTTTAACGTCTCAAAACCACCATATGATTATGAGAGACGCCGTAGTGGAGGGCTCCGGAAATTTCGACCACCTGGGGTTCTTTAACGTGCACCCAAATCTGAGCACACGGGCCTACAACATTTCCGCCTCCACCGGAAATGCAGCCGCCGCAGCCGGGATTCGAACCCGCGACCTGCGGGTCAGCAGCCGAGTACCTTAGCCACTAGACCACCGCGGCGGGGCCCTCTCGAAAATGACGTTCGAGCGTGTAATCTCACCAAAGATTCTTCACGGCGTTGCCGCTGCGGTTTCGACACACGAGCGAGGCGCGAGGGCGCAGCTTGTTACAGTGTAAGGCCAATGAACGTTGACGACCAGAGGCGGGCTGTTCGTCTTTCGCCGCGAAACGCTTCGATGCGCGCTGGCGGCTGCTTCGTCCCTCGCGTCGCGATGCGCGGTCTTGCGTCGAAACCCAGTCGTCCGCGCGGGTTGCCGTCACCGCGGAAAACGTCTCGCTTCGGTGTTTGTGAATTCGCAAAAGAGACCAAACCCTGCTACTCTTTCTCTACGAGCCCCAACATGTGCATAGACAGACAGTGTATTGAGACGTTTGCGGAACCAACGCGCCAGTGATCTCCAATAGACGCGTGTTTGTCGGAACGGTTCCATTCTCTCCGCGACGGTTTTTGTCACTGTGCTTATACTAACAGGAAGTTCCGGGCGTTCAGTAAACTCATTTGCTTCCGGTTCATTATCTTCCAAGAGTCGAAAGATTAAGCACAAGGTGTGATAACGTGAATAGCCCTTTTTCTTTCTTCTTCTATCTGTCGCCTATCATGGCATATGCTATTATTGAGTATCTGCATGCGCACAGAAACTAAGGTGAGAAAATGCACGTAAACTACATAGGGTTGCGCTATAAAATAGTGTGATTACGCCGTTTAATTATCTCGTCCTGATGTCTTTGCGCGGTGCATACTCAGTATTTATGAAGCCATATGTGCCAACTAGCCCATCGACGGATACTTCTAGATGATGTTACGACTGGTTGCTGGAAACTTTCCTGGTTCTCGCAATGTATATCTAGCGTCTTGATAGTACGAGTTTCGATTTAGTTACTGATCATTTGAGAAAAAATATGTCGCCGGCCTTTCACAGCGTTCAAATTCTTTCATGATTCACGATCTGGCACGGTGGATGCGACTACTTGTGAACAAAATACCTTTATTTTTGTTTATTATGTAGTCCTACCTTCATTATAACCAAAATTTCGCATGCCCGCTGCTTTCAATTTCAAAGTACCGCGAATTTTCGGGTGCCGTTGCAGTGAACGGGCAACATGTCAACGTACAGATATTTTTCTACTCTACATTTTCTTTCATTAGACACGCTAACTGATTGTACTCTTCACCATCGAAGTGAAAAAGAAGCTATTAAAATTTAACGCAGTATTAGAGACATCTTTATTTAAAATCTTTGTACACGCAAATCCGCAAGCATCAGTCGCGTAGGTTTTCTGTTCACTTCTTCGACATGCGAGTACAGTGAGGTCTCAGCAGTCATAATGTCAAGGCAATCTTTATTGTCCGTGATCAGAAGATCTACATCCCTTAGAGCCTGCGATGCAATGCCCAATTATTTTAGAATTGTATGCATTGGCGAATTGATTCTACAGTCAACGTCGAAAGTCTAGTGACCATGAGAGACGCAAGAAGGAACTGAATATCCTCGCTGTTTCGACATGCAGCCTTGAATTTAGATTTCCAATCTGCTCTGGAACGCGCTAGCGACATGTACTTAACAGTTCCAGCAAATACAGTCACGACTTGCTGGAATGTTCAATTATTTCTCAGGGCTAGTAGTTTGTAAACGTTTGACGCCGACTGGAAGGTCAGCAATTCATAACAGTCACGATTAAGTAAATACCAACAGCTGTGACAGCCCTGATGATGGGATGTTCTGGCTTGTTATATGCGTCGTTGTCCATCCATATATGCGTGTTCATGACAGAAGCTGCGATGTTAGCCTTACTTCGTCTAGCGTAATATTAATTACATTCTCTCTCTTTCCTCTGGAAACGCAGGGCTTCCACGGACCGTACTCGTATCGTTTCGGCTTCGACACGGCAGACCCTTACAACCCGCAGACTCGCTACGAGGAGAAGGGTGCCGATGGCCGCGTCCGGGGATCCTACAGCTACCTGGACCCCAAGGGTCGCCTGCAAGTGGTGCGCTACGAGGCGGACCGAGAAGGAGGATTCAGAGTCAAAGGGAGCTTCGGACAGTTCCCGGGTGACTCGAAACCTTAGGCCCGTGAAGTCCACTGCGATGTATAGATACCATCAGCGCGTTCACGAATGCACCACGCTGATGTAGGGGAGTGTCGTGCTCGGATAGAGAACGTCACAAAACGTTGTGCCATCAACTGGTGGAGCTAGATGAACCCTTCTTCTTGCGCCTCTTTCAGTGCCGATGAGACAAGAGCGATAAGGGTATTCACTGGTCGTTCTTTTGATCGGAACGCTGGCTTCCGAAAGTCAGAGAGCCTGCTTTGCATGGTGCGCAGTGTTTTGCGGAAGTATTGTCGTAACAGCTTTGTGCCAGGAGCGAAGAACGAAAACACGGTGTCACCTTGCGACAAACTTCCTTCACGGACGCTCGTGTTTCTTTTTTACCATATCAGTGGATGCGTGCTAGCTAGCCCATACTTATGAACATGAGCTAATATAGAACGGGGAGGGGTTTGCGAACCTTACATGGTTACGTTAGTGAAATTTAGTTTTATATTTCACGTTGCGCAATGTCTTCGTAGTAAGTTGTGCTAAAAATTTTGTAGGTATGCCATATACCAACTAGCAAACTTGCATTGTAACAATGCTCTACGATGTGTTTTGCGTGCTGAACTAAACACGGCTACTACATAGTCACAAAGTGCCGTGCACGAAGTGATGTGAGTCAAAAGAGCTGGACGAACCAACGTAAGCTTCACGTCAATCTTTGCTCTTAACCCACTTGCGTTTACAGTTGACCTATTTTAAATGACGAAATATTATGCTTAGGCCACAAGTATTTAACACATGATATTGAGTGATAAGCAACACGGACCTCCTCTATTGCAGATAGTTTAACTGTATTGGCAGACATATTCTTAGTAACTTCAGGGTTATTCCGAGTTTGCAGCGAGGCCGCGATACACATCTGCATGTGATCGTGAAATCGAAGTCTGCCAGGAGAGTTTGATACGAGCTCCTGGTTAATATAATGTTTACTGAAGGAAACGCTGCAGAAATGTAAATATATACCTCATGTGTATTCTTCTAGAAAGTGTCTGTATAGGTTCCAGGCACGGTGCAAGAATAAGTTAGGTGCTGACCCTTGCCGCTCCGCGCAAGGAGAGGGCGCGGGCAGATTGTGTTCGCCGACGACCTTGAGCCCGAGTAGTTTTCGTGGCGCGAGTGGAGGTGGCGCTACTGTGTGGGGTGCCAGGCGTTCGGACGGCGCTAATTCTGAAATTCGCGTGCGGAGCATCTTCCAGAAAGCTTTGTGTGCATGGGATTTCGTGGTTTACAAATGCGTTACGCGGTGCCTGTAAGCCACGTTAGTGCATTTGTTTGGCTGATTCGCGCTTTGTAATTCAGTGCATGTATGCCCCTCGACGCTGTATATGACCCCGAGTGCACGCGTCAGCGGCCTTGTCGCTCGCTGCGCCTCGAAATGGGCAAGATGGTGTTTTGTCACGGATTGCAAGTCGGGGAATCGCACTTATATGGAGCGTGTGTCGATGTGTAAGGCTCCGCGTGAACCAGAGCGCTTGGATAAGTATCGACGGGCAATTTCGGGAGCTGACGGAGCCTTGCAGCCTACTGACCATACATGCGCGGAGCATTTCCCGAAAGAAGCTATCTCCGTCGCATATCATGCAGAATGCAAGGGGAACGTCCCACCAAAGAAACCTTCGGTCACTTCGGACGCTGTGTCTGCAATTTCACCGGGGATGCCCCAAATACCTGACGGTGCAGCAAAAAAAAAAAACATCAAAGCTCTGCGAAAAGCAGAAAGAGCAGATCAGAGCATTGCAACACGAAGATTGGTACGTTTCTGATTATGAGCTTTTTGTCTGACAAAAGTAAAACAATGAAGAGCTATAAATGCATACATCGCACGATTTCTTCGATTTAATAATTCTTCTCAAAGTAGTTTTCTGAATTTTAGTGATCGAGACACTGCCCAAGTAATGAAGTTACACGTTCATCATATCGACTTGTTTTGAATATACGCGGAAAGATATGTTTATATTGGTCATAATAATCCGTCCTGACTGTTCTAAAATCGCCAACTGTATACTTTATATCCTCGTAATATCTTTCAGTCATTTTTTTTTTTACTCCGTTCGATTATGGCTTCACAACACTTAGACCAACACCACTTTGTGTTGCGCAGCTTGATTAGCTTCCTTGCTTTCACTCTCGTTGTCTTATTAAGAGCGCTGAGTTGTGAAATACGATCTTGCGAAACGACAGGCTTGGTTTTATAAGTGAGACAGATGGCCGATATTCGAATATTGCTTAAGTTTACTGAGCGGCACGCATGCGCGTAGTGAAGATTAGAAAATGCGCTGTCATTTTACTCTTTTTGCTAGATAACAGATCAACCCGACTTTCCACATTTAGATAACACAGCCAACTGTGTCAGCGTACGTGTTGTGGGTGAGTTGTATGTCATGCTTTGGCTGTGAATCATTGCGGCCATAAGTTCATGTAACAACGAAACAAATTTACTCGTTATAATTAAACATAATTAACGACTTTCAAGGATTTCGGCAGAGAACGCGAATGAACATTGTGCACTCATCTATTGTACTGTGTGCGCTTAGATGGGAAAGCAGGTTCATTGCAGTTTTGTTCACTTAACGCATTGTTCATTGCATAATGGCCATGATCTAAAGCAGTGCCACTTGCACTAAGCAGCAGACGAAGAGGGCATAAGATAGCGATAATTTGTGGCTCTCAAGACTGTAGAGCATGTAGGGCGCAAATGTTGTCTAAAAAAGCCATGGTACACATAATAAAAACGAAAATTCCGGCGTTGCTCGTAAGTCAAATATTAACCCACGGTCCCTCATTGTTTCTACGCCCACATTTGCCTCTAGTTTTTTTTTTTTCAAAATAGAATGGCAGCCTGCTGATCTAAATGGGAATTAAATTACGTGGACATCACTTTTACAAGTGGAGAAACTTTTTTTTTTTTCGCATACATCAGGCCTATACCACTATACTATTCTACTAAGCAAGGAAAAAAAAAAGCAACTAACTTCAGCAGTTTTTATTACTAAGCATCTTTTGCTTTTATGAAAGTACCAAACTTTGTCTCGTTGTTTCGTTTTCTTGTTAATTGATATCTATAGTCTGTATGCAGTTCCCTAGTTTCACCTTCAAATGTTGTTGATTGATATCCACCTGCTGCAGATTTAGAGCGCAAGTACTTCTATTAAACGTATCCAGATTGTCATTTTAAACTGAATCCCTCGAGTTTCTAGTTTTCAAGAACAATGTGTCCTTGACAGTCAGTTGCTCTGGCTGATAAGCTGTTTGACATTGCCATTGGCTGGCAAAATTTAAGCCCCATTGAACGAATGTTCCGCGCATACAAGAACGTTTTCTAAACACAATAGTGGCCTTCCGGTGAAACAAGACTGTTTGGCTCAATAGGCTGACTGGTCTTGCTATTTTCGTTTTTGCATACTGCAGTGCAATTGAAAGATGTGGCACACGCACTGGAGGAGTGTTACCGAACGTTCACTTTCGGATATAGTATCTCTCTCGATTAACTTCACTTGACTCGCCATAGGATGCTGGCGTTGCTCCAGGACCACTACATTGGCGAATTGTCATGAATGCTGTCTTTCCTACACTGCACACTTCAACCCGTCTGGTTCCAAGTCATGTGAAACCTAACAAAGACGATGATATTCCCAAATGTGGTTGCCTGGCAACACATCCCCTTTTTCTGCGATCGTGTGATCCATGACGGCAGTAAACTTATGACACTGAACTTGGTTCGTTGGTTGGGTACTAGAGGTATTGCCCAACTCCCCACGCGGATCGGCCATGAATCACGTGGCAGTAGAATTTTGGGAGTAGGGGAGGGGTATGCTAGAAAGTCTTTGAAAAAAAAAATAGATGACTGATGGCAACTTCTTTTTCTTCTTCTTGCTACGAGTCCTATGAGTACTCTGTCTTCTTGCAATACTCATATGGGCTCGCATTGCCCGTATCGAGTCCCGTCTGTATGCTATGTGTGTGTATGCTGTTGGTTACTTGTTCAGCTACATTGTGATAGGCTGAGAAAGGACCCGTGTAATTATGCTTAGAAAGTAGACTTGATATGCAAACGCTGTTGCTTGCTATGTTTGCAGCATGTAGTGTGGTGAAATATACGTTATTGTAGCATATCTAACAAGATGTAATCTGGCGCGTGATACCACTCACCGTGATATTTTGAAACCCACTCGTTGTGTTTGTAATGAAGAAACGCACAATGCCGTCAGTAGAATTAGACTGTGTTTTGTGAGTGTGAAACATTATTTTCGGCTGGTCGGAGTTAAGATACGCCGAAATGCGTTGTATAAAAGGCCAGATAACGAGAGCCAGGTGAAGCACGGGAGGACCAAGATTTCACGCGCTTGACTAGCCCTATGCTACCGTCGCCTTATTTGTTTTTCTTTTTTAGTCATTCTGATACTTTTCTTATAGCAGGTGTTAATTTAGTTAGTTTTTAGTGGTGTACATAATTACCTGATCATGTTGTTTTTAAGTTAGCTTTCCATTGTGTCTGGTTTATTATTCTCGTGCTGTACAACCTGGTGCGTGAGAAGGCAGAGGCAAGAAAATACAGCTTGTATGGTGCTTTTGTTTACGTGCGATTTGCCGTGTAAAGCTTTGCGATACATGTGACCTATTTTTATGCTAAATTCTTACTTCTCTGTTGCATCAGTTTTACTAGTGTTTCACATCTTTCGTCATGTTTATACGTGGAGCCAATACTTATCATTCCTTTTTTGTCTACATGTGCATTCCCAACCGTAATCGATATATGTGAAATGTATCAGGAGATTCCTGTTTGCACTGCTAATGGAATACGTTATAGATGCGATTGAGAGTTATCTGCAACGCACCGATCATCAAAGCGATGTCCTGTATTGTACAGTAGTAGCTCGTGACTTATTAAACGGTAGTAGGTTTAGATGTTGTTCTTGTAGTACTCTTTCACCACGTGCTATTTTTACCTACATTGCATGGACGCAACATGTTTAATAAAATTGTGTGTTTCCGGATCACTGTTCTTGCTTTTTCTTTTTCCAAAGTCTGTTATTGTTAATGTTGTGGACGTGGTGGTTAAGGGTAACCATGCAGGAACAGTTGCCCTAAGCAGCCACATTGGCATTCATGAAACAATTTCAGCCTGAATAACAGCTGTGTGTTTGAAAAAAATGTTTAATGATTTCGAGTACTTCGTACTCCACTATGGGATATGGGAGAGCATTGAGCCGTCCCGCTAAAAACAACTAACTCTTCAAAGGCTAGTACATGATAATTTTAATTTAAGATGTTCAGCCACCCCGCGAAAATTTGGGCCGATGCTTGAAGCCCACCCATCTTGATCTTGTGGCTGCGTACATACTTGTGAACATTGCCAATCAAAAAGCAATAATTGCGCATATTTGAGGCGACACATACATACGTAGGTGTTAGGCAGTATGTATATTTATTTACAAAATGCATATATGCGTAATTCTAAATATCGAAGTATTTATTACGTTGCGTTGACAATGTGACGTTATGAGCGAAAACCGGGTGTTTCCTACACTTCACTAAAAAAAGTTCAGGGCCTTGAACTAAAATGACCCGGTGCTGCCACCTACCAGTGGCTCTGCGTTCTAAAAAAGCTTTCGTTTCTTCACATTACTGCCAGATGGCACCATGTCTCACGCAGCGCCACCAGGCAAAAACTTTCGTCTTTCGACGTCCTTGGCAGCAAAGCACGGAGATACGCAGTCAATTTTATTCTGCGCTTTATCGACTTCCTGATTGTCACGGCGGTTGAAATGTGTGTCGTCTGCATTCCGTTGCGTCAGGTTGTTTCCTCCTTCAGACGTAGCGATGACGCGACGGAGAAGCCCCTGCGGGAGGAGCATTTGAGCACTGGGTGAGGTGGTGGCGCCCCCTATGTCGTGGCACTGTAGTCAGGGTTCCGAAATGTTTTAGTGGTTTTAAGTTAATTATGGCGTTTACTTATTGATTACATCATTAAAAATAGCGATTACCAATAAACAGTCACCAGAAAGTGTACTTGAATTATTCAGAGCGCTACAGTTACGAAAAAGTAATGTGTTATATTACAAAGTCACGAGGAAATTTACTTTATTGCAGGAAACCGATTACTTGTAACTGGTTACGTTCAACTCTGGACAGCGTAAGCACGCTTCGCACATGGCGCATGGTGATGCCTCGGATGCGATTACTTCGTCATTATTTCTGTTAATTGTATCATTTTAGAGGTAGTTCGTTTAACCTGACCCGGTACTGAGTATTGCTAAGGCTTATTTTAGGCCTGTATTGACCGCTTGATGTTGGGTGGAATCACGCTACATGCCAGAGCAAGACAGTTACAACAAAACAGGGGCCTACGGATAGACACGCCGGGCCGCTGAAGTTCTGCGTACCTTAAGGAATAATAATAACTGTTAAGTCTATTTCAATCAAACGTGTCAGCTCGCATGGGAAGTTCATTCAGTGACGTGCAGCATACCAACAAATTTATGATGTACTTCGAGATGTTGTGACCCCAGGTTTAGGCTTAAGCTACACTCAAGCTATCGAAGCTTGTACCCACCGTTATATATAGCTTATAGATATTTAGGTTTCGCGTCGTAAATCTCTAGGGTGCGTCTCCGACCGCATTTCTGAGTGGGCGAGGTGAAGAAAACGTCATACTGGTTTGACTTAACATTTTCGATGGAGGCGGAAATGTTGCAGCCCGTGTGCTGAGATTTGTGTATATGTTAAAGAACCACAGGTGATCGAAATTTCCGGAGCCCTCCAATACGACATCTTTCATAAACCTAGGGTAGTTCGGGGACGTTAAATCCCACATATCAATCACTGGTTTAATTTAGGAGCCCGTTAAAGAATCCCAGCTGATCATACCTGAACTGGAATTGCGCACTAGCTGCGTGCCTCGAACGTTATCATGCAGTTCTTTCGGCATGTAGACCCTCAGGGTTTAATATAATAAGTAAAACCGCTTTGGATAGCATCGCTTAACCCTTTATACCCTTAATGAATGATCTGCGATTCTTTCAAATTAAGCTAGAGCAGCCAGGCCCAAACTCGTATCCGATCACAGAGGAGGGAAAAAAAACGATAGACGTGAAGTCTTTTATTTTAGGAAGATAAATATCATTGTTGTCGTACGAAAAGAACACGTGTAAAAAGAAAATTCTGGAAATGAAACCGGAAGGGGCCTGGTGCCGTATAGGAAGCAAGAAAAGCAACGCCGTGCTTGCCGGAAGTAGTAAGAGAAGCTTAGAAAACAACCGACGAAAAGGTCAGTTGATGCGCAGTGCCCCGCCATAGAACACGAAACAGCACTGTCTCCGGAAGCGTCAAGTTCAAGCCGACGCGGTTGTTTCTCGTAGCGTGCCGTCACTAGCATCATCGACGATGTCTGGCGGCGGCGGCGGTACGAACGCACGAACCGTTCAATGATCCCGCGCAGGCGCATTGCGCCTGCGAACGGGGTTAGCGAGAGCCGCCGCTTGGGCCCTCGCTTCAAACGGCTGCACTGCCGCGATGCAAGCCGTGCTTCTCTGTTCCCTGCCGAACCTGGCTGGCCCCGCCCACCGGAGTAGGAAGCCCGGAACACCGAAAGTCGACGCTGGCCGCAAGATCAGCTGGCCGCTCAAAGCCAGCGTTCGTCGCTACCTGCTCGGCCGAAGGACAGCGGCGACCACCACGAGTGACGACACCGCTCCGACCGCCCAGACGAAAGCACCGAGCCTGACGCAGAATCGGCGTCGCTGACCGTTTCATGCAGATCGTCGTCGGGCGACTGGTAGCGAGAAAAGCGAAGGCTTCGCAAGCCGCCTACGGCGCATCCTGACCGAGCAGCGCCGAATCCGGGAGTCGTCCTGCTAAGGTAAGAAGCCGTTCTTTTCACGAGACGCGTTCGTAGTAAGAGAGCGGGAAAAAAAGGGAGAGACCAGGCGTCGTGGGCTTACAGTATGTTATCCTGGTCGCTGGATAGTTCGCCATACTGATTCCACTCAGAGTATACGCTCCCACGTTAATTTCAGCACGGATAGAGAGGGCAGACAGAATACGCGATATTCCCAGTCAACGGTGTAGCCATGTTATAAACAGAAAATTCGACAATAACGACAACCGTTAGTGATTGGCTTCGCTGTGTCAGGTGCTTTGGATAATTCACGTCAGCACTCTCAAAGTTCGTGTCTTATTTTTCGAAAAGTTCCCGTTCTTCGCTTTGTTTCTTACCACTTCAATTGCCCAAATTGTCTTAATAAATGGCTTTTACCATAATGGCTTTTTGGTTCCTAATTTGGACATACCAATCTTAAGACAAAAACTGCCTTTATAGCTGTTGGGAAGCTCCGAATCGTTAATTTAAAAAAATGAAATAACACGTAAGCTACCGGCGTACGATGTTCGTGTCTGTAGCCTTACAACGAAGCGAGCACTACTGGGGTACGCTGCTGCGCGTTCGGCGTGTCTGCGGGTCGGTTCGTGGAGCATCGATTGATTTTGCCGGGTGAAAAAAAAAAAAAAAAGGTGAGGCTGCTGCAGCACGGGAATGCAGTGCTTGTGCGGGAACTCTCGCTGCACGAACGGAGTGCCGCGTGAAGGAATTTGCCATGCCCTCTTCCTTCTTGAGTTACGTGGCTGTTTTATTTTTTTTTCTCTCGTTTTCTCTAAATTGTCTCGTCTTCTCTTGTTCATTCCCGTTCTGATTTGTGTTTTGTTTGTTACAAACATAAATAAATGAAAGGCAACGAGTGTTAGCACAATTAAAATATGATGAATGAATGGATGGATGAATGAAACCACGTTTGTTCCACTTTTTTTATGACGAGGGTGCCGTGGTGGACAGACACAGGGCACCATGTGCTGCCCTGCAAAGGTGAACTTGGGAGGGGGGGGGGAAGGGGGAGTCGAAAGATAAGCAGATAAGAAATAGATAAATCGCAGACATATCATCGCGATTGTTCCTGTGCTTAAGTTCTTAATTGTTCAAAGAGCATGTAAAAAACAGATAGAACTCAGCGTGTCGTGATTTGGCGAAGATTAAGTTTAACTTCCGATCACTAGTACTAAACACAAGGCAACGGCTCATCACGGAGCCAACGTGAGCCGCAACTAGTCATTTGCAACGCAAGCTAGCATTACCAAATAGTTAGGTTGCACGAGCCAGCGTTAGCCAAGAGAGGCCATGGCTAGCCGACAATAGGCATTATTTTGCCAACACTGACCAGAGTATCCACCTGTGCTAAGAACTGGTAGTATGCCAGTAAATGCGATACTCGAAGCGAAGGGGCTGCGTGGCCTACGCAAGCGGTCCAATTTTTTCGTCAGTCATAGGACACTGCCAAATCGCGTTTCAGGATGTCATTGGAAGGGATGTTAAAAGTCGTTATCATTTCGAAGCAAACAAAAGCTTGAAACTATCCTTTACGCAGGTGGTACAATACGTTCTGACACATGTTGCAAGTCACTTGACAGATGCAGTTTTCACTTACGCCTCATTTCAGTCTTGCCCCGTCGAGGTGGTCTAGTGGCTAAGATACTCAGCTGCTGAGCCGCAGGTCGTGGGTTTGCATCCCGGCTGCGGCGGCTGCATTTCCGATGGAAGTGGAAATGTTGTAGGCACGTGTGCTCAGATTTGGGTGCACGTAAAAGAACCCCAGGTGGTCGAAATTTCCGGAGCCCTCCACTATAACGTCTGTCATAATCATATGGTGGTTTTAGGACGTTAAACCCCACATATCTATCTATCTCGTTTCAGTCTAGTCTATTTGCAGCGCGAAGTGGCCAGCACACATGTCTAAGAGCCGAACTCTTAACGCATTCCATGTTGCTTTCTACAACCAATGACACGGTCGCCGTGACGTTAAAGGTAAAAGTTATGCCCAACTTAGTGCTTGGACTACTCTCGCAAGTTTCTACTTTCTGCAAGATCATTCTTGTAAAGCAGGATCTGTAGCTGTCCTCTATTATCAATATAAGGCGGTTCGAGGCGTTGATAACGAGCACGATAAGAAATCGAAGGGCCATAGCGTTCGACTGGTGCTGTTTGCCTTGCTGGTCGTTACTCAAGCTTACAGGCAATAAGTAAATGCATATCCAGTGATAAAAGAAAACAAGCGACACTTTCATCAAGTTAAAAGTGTGCACGTGCATACAGTAAAGCTGTTAAGCGTGCGTACCCTATCCATTTAAAGAGCACTTTTTCAATACAGAGATAGGTAAGAGGTGGTCGAAATTTCCGGAGCCCTCCACTACGGCGCCTCTCATAATCATATGGTGGTTTTGGGACGTTAAACCCCTCCAATCAAATCAAGAGAGTGTGATTTGCTTTTTTTATACGTGTGTGTACTCGCTGATCACGCAATAAACTGAGTGTATTTTGAATTTCTGAGCTTAGCATTTAAGGTATTCGTGTCTTGATTCTTGAGAAACAAGGTCATTTCTGTGGCACGGGCATTTTGGTCGAAGGATCAGTCCTGTTGAACTTCTGAGTGCGTTAATGTTAGGGTCGATTGTGTTTGCGTGCCGTGCTTTGAACGCAGCACGAAACGCAAAGCGGCAAAACATGTGTGTGTGGTTGCGCAAGTCGCAGAGCTATTTCTATAGACAAGCACATCTTTTGCTACAGTGTGAGTGCCCCGCCTCGGTGGTCTAGTGGCTAAGGTACTCGGCTGCTGACCCGTAGGCCGTGGTATGGAATCCCGGCTGCGGCGGCTGCATTATCAATGGAGGCGAAAATGCTGTAGGCCCATGTGCTTAGATTTGGGTGCCCGTTAAAGAACACCAGGTAGCCGAAGTTTCCGGAGCCCTCCACTACGGCGTCCCTCATAATCATAAGGTGGTTTTGGGATGTTAAACCCCACATATCATTTCAGTGTGAGTGGGTCAGCCAAAAAGTGAGTCAGCCACACAACTTATGAGTGCTAGCCTTGTACGCGTCCATAATCAGGAAGTGCGTTCCCTCGTTCAGACGTGGTCCTCCTACTTTTTCCATATGCTCCGTGACCATGCGCTATCTCCATGGGCCTCTCCAATCTGTGCCAACTCTTTCCTCGCTTGTGCTGTCCGGGTCTCCCTACACCAGCGTACATGTCATGGTCGCTGAATTGGTGTTCCTTATAAATGACGCTGATGGGGCTCAAATGAAATGGAAGTGCATTTTGCTTGTCACTTGTGTAGATAATGGGTGAAATCGTTGTTCTTGTTCATTAAATAGCAGTACGATATGTACACTGCACTAAAAATACTTATGAGGGAAACTCTGAAAAATGTAGGATGAGAGAGAAACGAACAGCACAAGTGCTTACTAACTGAAAATTGTATTGAAAAAAAAAGCAAAGCAAAAGAGGCAATAAAACCGAGTGTGCATGAATAAAACAGTATAGAAAGGAAATACATGTGCTCATCAAGATAACTTAATCTCTGCTCTGCGTAATGTCACAGTGCGCTTGGAGACATTGTGCCATGCCGCGGAGGGCTTACAAAATAATTACATGATATTTAGCTTCAGCATTGTACGGTTATCAATGACGCAGCTGTTTATGCAGAGCGATGCTCCGTGACGGGCGAACAGGTGTGAACGTCACCATGAACCGGCAAACGCTCTCTTTGTCCTCCTCCTCTTCTACATCTTCGTCCATTTTCAGCTTCGCTCAGGCAACACAAACATGACGAACTGTCTTTAGCTCATATCATACTTTGCCACTATCTGTACGGACTCTGTCCGCGGTGTGATTCCGATATATTAACTGGACTATGACCATACATACCGTACTTATTCATACATTACATGCCCTATAATGTACATAGTATTGTACATATTGCATCTGATTAGTTTTTTTCCTATTTTGTTCTTAATTTTGCTTTTTTGTGTGTTTCTATTGTACATTACTGTTATGTTGTTGGTATAGCCAGCTCTAATGTAGCCTACCTTCCCATGTCCCACCAAATATAAATAAAAAAAAACAAGGGCGCCGATTTTTCCGGCATGGCCTGTAGTAACCCAGATGGATGAGAGAAGAGCCCAGATGGAAAGAAGAAAAGAGATAGAGAGAGAAAGTGAGAGAGAAGGTATCGGTGAAGACAATTTTAGACAAGCGACACTCGGGCTCGTGTACCCAAAATCCGAAGGCAGGCGTCGTAACCACTCGGCTATCCAGGACCGCCAGCAAATTAAAACGTAGCCTTGTATTGCGTATAATGTACCAAAAGGTGGGAAATGAAAATGAGGGTGAGTATGAGCGAAAGGGGGATGTAAATGATGATGGGAAATTGAATTGTGCGTAGAAATGGGTATGTATAAAATTAATAAAAAATAAAGAGACAAAAGATGAATAGGTGAACGTTATTAGGCATGAAATAATATATATAAAACAGAGATAAACAGATGAAAAAAACTGAAAGGAAATGAAGAAGGCCGCCCAGCTCTGCATTTGGTTCAGGCTTGGAACGATTAGTGGCGCCGAGCCTAAACACGACTTAAGGCGACGTAACCTATTTTGGTGTGTTCGCCTCAAATGGCGGACGCTTGCTCCAGAACCGACAAACGTTCCAGCTCGCATCCACGGAGCTTCGAAACTCGTTCTGTTTACTTGTGTGCCTATTCGCTTACCTGCTGTTCACCTTCAGAGGTGACGCCGCGCCTGTTTTCTTACGCGCGGGTGACGCCTGGGTCTTGATTGGCGGCTGTCACATCGCCGCGTATCAATGCAGCGTGCGTCGGCATATTGTTAGAACGTGCCTGTAGCGGTGCTTTCGACCTACAAATATACACTGCGCAGGGGAAAGAAGTTTTTTTTCCTCGTCTGAGGCATATGGAACTGCATAGGAGTTCTCGAGAAAATGGTTGTATGTTTTTTTTTTTTTACATTGAAGCTGTGTACAGATAGGCGAGATTAAAATTTGTCCGCCATGTGTACACGAAAACTTCTAGTGCATGTGTGTTACAGAAGTGCGCAAGCCCCTCTGCCCACCAGTGTTGAAACAATTAAAAATAAAAAAGGAAGAACAGGTTTGGATGTGGAGCGAATGTGAAAATAAAATAATAAAAAGAGAGGCGTGCCATGATTATTATATATGATGGTGACCATTCAAAGCACACTGGGTGGCATATAAAGTAAACACTGTGATAAACTCAAGCTAAGCTTGTGTTTATTGTTTACTTGATTGATCCTAAGTTACCACCAGTGAGCACTTTTGGGCTGAGATCTTTTCTTTTCATCTATCTCATTTGATTTCTTTTAAAACCGAATTCTTGCATCATTCCGGCAGTAATTGGGTTTGCATCGAACATGGGACCATGGGAATGATGGGTAGTATACACATTTGCCTATTCTTTGTATTTGCGGGCGGTGAATCGTACTTGCGGCTTCGTTTATTGCTGTGTTTCGGTTTTGTTTTGAAAGAAAGATTCAACCCTTTTGAACATCGTGACCTGATTCGAAACGGTAAGCCTAAAATTATGAGGTAGTGAAGCGTAACCACTGAATAATTGCTGATTTTTGTTTTGTGAGAAAACGGCTCCAAGCCACACGAACGCACACGAAGCCAAAAGTACTACCCACCATTCCCATTCTCGCTGAAGCACCGTGCTTTGCAGCTCCCATAGACACTAGTGCAAAAGTTTCCTCTGGTGTATATTTAGGAACCGTTATGGTAGAACTATTATTGTGTGTGTGTGGGAGGAGGGGGGTAATAAATATTGGAGATACAAATGCGATAACGAATGAAGTGACACACGTTATATACACTAAACGATACGCACATGTCACAATATGCAATAGTGTCTCTTGGTGTAGTTATGTGCACCTTGGTATAGCGTCATACGCAAGGGGGATGGCGGGCCATTGTACTCAAGTACATGCCCAAAGTATGAACGCATATATAGACAGATCCACTGTTGAAAGGTACACTTGCGCGCAGTGTCTATCCAGATTTTGCCACATTGGAAACGCGTGGTAGCTTAGATTTGTATAAGACCAGCGGCGGTTAAAAGTTCTGGCTCCTCTTGAGACTATATTGAGCTGTATACGAACCATGTTTCTAAGTATACTTGCCGTTAGGGGCGCAGAATTATGAAACGTGCTCACTCGAGTGTTCCTTTTAAAAGTGGACTATACTGTACATATGTTGCGCTCACTTTTGTACAGTCAGTAAAGCTGCGTGAAACTCCAAAGGCACCGCCACACATGGCTTCAGGTGCGCAAATAGCATTAATGAATGCCTGACTTTTTTTTTTTAATCTTGCTGAAAGCCTTATACTCTGCTCGGCGATTGTAACTCACGAATGGCGCCTCCGTCGCGGCGGTCTAGTGGTGAGGGCACTAGACTGCTAACTCGAAGGTCGCGGGATCGAATCCCGGCTGCAGCGGCTGCATTTTCAATCGAGTCCAAAATGCTTGAGGCCCGTGAACTTACATTTAGGTGCACGTTTAAGAATCCCAGTTGGCCTAAATTTCCGGAGCCCTCCGCTGCGGCGTCTCTCATAATCATATGGTGGTTTTTGGACGTTAAACCCCGCATGCCAATCAATCAAACCAATTTTGCCCTGATATGATGCTCGGTAACCGAGACAATGCACGGAAAGAAAACGCTGGTGGAAACGCCATTGTGAGGCTCCCGCAACAAATATCGTGACGTCATAGGTTCTGAAGGTTTGTACTGAATTTTACGCAGATTCCAATAAATTAAAATGAAGCAAATTGTTGTTTGTGCGTGCCATAGAACTAAAGAATACGAAGTTTCGAAAAATTTTATCGAGACAATGGTACAAAAATGAGAGAAATAAATTTTGAAATCTGACGTCACGCACGGAGATTTCGGCGCGAAGTTTGAAAATGAGACTTCAACCTTCATTTTCTCTATTATCGATGAACTTATAATAGTGAAATATAAGCCATTAGAGTGCAATTTGTCGATCTGAACCAAGCCAGAGACTGTCTCTAATGCGTGTAGCGTGCTTTCACAGAGGATAAATGTAAAAGATCACAGTAACGCTGATAAACTACACTTTAGCTCAACATTTAACGAGCTGTGTGACGGGTTATTATTAGAAGTTGTGTACTCCAGTTTTGTAAATGTGAAGCGAGTTTCTCCAAATAAGCTGTATAGTGCTCTAAAAGAGCTTCACAAGACTGAATGATAGAGGGGAGAGGGTATTTCTTTGCCGCAGTACATTCATTCATCCATTTGCTTGACTTCTTTTTCATTGCAGACACAGCAGCCAAGATGACTGTTCGCACGGCAATGATGGATGTGTGGCTAGATAAAGGCGCCGTGGAAAGCCCAAGTAAGCAAGCTTTCACACACTTCATCACACAAAAACTCCCAAGCATTTCCCCGAGGGTGAACATGGTTAAGTGCGAATGCACGGGGTGATGCTATGAAGGGGAGTAAAGTTAAAATCTGTTGGCGACGCTGATATCGGTGTCAGTAACGCGCCTTATATCCAGATGGTAGCGTTGCCTCCGGGATATCCATCGCACGACCCGCTCTCGACGGGAGACTGAGAGAGAAGGTGGACGCGCGAGAGAGAGGGGTGCGCGCGCAGCTGCAGCGAGCGAGGAGAGCGGAGGAGCGAGCGAAGGGGGAGGGGAACTATCAGCGTCGCGTCCGTGGCTTATTCAATAGAGCGTCGCGCTGCGGCCCGAGTCCTCTTTCTTTTAAAGATAGAGAGAAGACTGCGGACGCCGCCGACGGCGGTGGATGGTTTGGGGTCGCTTATAAAGTGTATTCACACTTAAAAAAGGAGGAAAAAAACGCCGCCGTACCCTGTACATGCCCTACTCGTTTCTCCATGGCTTAGAGTTAGGACTACATGAAACACTGGCTTCCTTCGGTGTCAATGTCCGTGACCTCTCCCATTGGTACAATAAATTATGTAGCGTTTTTCGGGACCAGAAGAGATGAAAACTTTGAGATAATTGGAGACAACAACACATATTTGCAGTTCCTCAGACAGTTGCTGGCAAGTAATACACTTCAGTTTTCTATGGCAATCAAAACAGTCCGCTTTACCTATATTCTCTTAATAATTGAACACACTGGGAGCATAGTTCTCGCTGGCTAACGTTTTTTTTTTTTTTTATCGCTCTCAACGCAGAGCGAAGATCAACTGCTGTGAAATCTGTGGAGGACGTGCTGTCCACTTTGGGCCTGACACGGAAGCACGAGCTGGACACGGCTGGATCGCACATTTACCTCTACACAGCCGAGTCGGCGGGGTAAGACGTTGATCCTCGCTGCAGATGCACAAAACTTTACCGTTTGCACAACAAACATTGATGCTCTGTTGAATAGAGGTATATATAACGGGAACTAAATGACAGGAGAAAGCGTCGTGTGATGAAACCGAAAACGAGAACTAAACAAAAACAAAAAAGAGATGGTTTACACTAGGGTAAATATTTCAGTTTTTGAGAATATGATATGATACTGCCAATCGCAATGCGTTTTTCTCGAGACTTAACTTCCGTAAAGTTGAAAAGTAGTGGCCTTATCGCCTACAAGTTTTGTAGACTATAGTATGAGAATTTTCGGCTAGCAAACCTTCTTGTATGTCCGATGTATAAAGGACGAATATTGTTAACTTTTCTATGTATATTTATGTATACATTTTATTTATTAATTTTATGATGCAATTCTCAGAATACTCCAAATTTGTGAACTTGCAGCTGCCTGATGCCACTATGAAGAGAGAGTACCAACTGAAGGGTCATCGTACTTCTTTGTAATGTGTTTCAGGTTCCGGAATTGTTTATTCTTACATGAGAAAATGTCAACAGAAATAAATTATGTGGTTTTCGTGAGTATACTTGAGTTCGGTGGTTGCGCCTTCTTTTTCAACGTGACCAAAGTGCAAGAGCAGACAAGCAACTTTCAATTTTTAAAAATAATGTATATAAATGTGTACATGTGGCAGTGCGCTTCCGTATAGCGCCGGTCATTCAAAAGTAACAAAGTGCCTACGGGCGTTACTGATTACACGAGAAAACAAAAAACATACGGCAAATCAAGCCTCGTCTTTGCTTTTACAAATGCTGACGGCCAATAATGCAATTGATTACACGTCTTGTAACATATAACATGAAGCGTAACCACGCGTGGGTTGTTTCCTTTTCAGATTGTCTTGCCTCATCACGGTTTATTCTAACGGATTCGTAACAGTGACCATCGAAGACGCGAATCCCGATTCTCCTCTCACCAACCAGGTGTGTGTTCATTGTTTTATTCCTCGTGATTTTGAAAGCTTTAAATGTATTACGCCGAACTTTTTCGTTTAATGTCAGCGATAGTGCTCTAAGAGCTCGCCCATAAACCGTCGATTACACCTTTCGAAGGGAGCACTAATTATCTCGTTCCCGAACAATTGATTTCCACGCGTTCAAATGAAGTTTAAAAGCTTTTGTCATTAGCGATATAACTGGCACAGTGCGCTCGACAGATTGTCCGCCGCGGTGGAGCAACGGTTAAGGTCAATGCTGGCTGCCTGGTGATCGGCGGCGAGCGTGTTCAAGTCGTTCCCGTTGGCCCACAAGTGACCAACGTCGCCTGCCTGTTCCTGCCATCGTTCGTCTCAAACGAAGCTCTCGTCCAAGCGTTATCCCCATATGGCAAGGTGCTCACTGTCACCAGTGGTTTGATGAGCGGGCGACGCGGCGTACTCACTGGAACGCGGTATGTTCGAATGGAGATGAACGCCGCTAATCCTGTGCCGAACTACCTGCGCATCTCCGGTCACCGTGCTACGTTTGACTACCGTGGTCTCCAGCGTGTATGTCGAAGATGCGGCTCAGGGGACCATCTACGAGCCCAGTGCACAACACCGTATTGTGGTCGCTGTGGTGTGCACGGTCACGTTAGTGATGGATGTGACCGCCCATGTCGACGCTGCGGGGACGGCCACCCAACTGTGGTTTGCCCTGTCCGCCGCTCTTACTCAGACGCTGCCGCTGGTGCCTTTCCACCACTGACACCGGCAATGGAACCAACTACCGACTCGGGGGACGCAGAGGAGGTCACCGACGCTGTGCTGGCCTCACCCCTACAAGTTCCTTCAAACGAAGCGCACAACGAAAGCGCGATGGTCGATGCGACGCTTGGCGCGTTGGCCTCCCCGCTGGTGCAGGAACCGTGCGCTTCGAAAGACGCAACGCACTGCCCTGAAAACGGCGTCGGCGTCTCTTCTTTGACGCCACTTGATGTTCAGTGCACAAATGACCCCAGTTATCAGGCTGCTGCTGTTGGAGTTGGCCCTACGACCCCGGTTATTTTGGAAAACAGTGGCGAAAACACCACAGCCTCTTCTGTTGCGGCCGCTCCGACCATTTCGACATCGCGTCGTACACGTAAAAAATCGCCCACACAAAGGGTGCCTACACCGGACTGCCGAGACGCGGACAGTGCTGCCAGCATCAAGAATGTGGATCCAAGCTTGCCGGCGGCTCAGTCCCTACCTCCTCAGGACACGTCTTCGGAAGACGGCTTCAGCCTGGGACTGGATAGTAGCATCGGACTGTCTAGCCTTGCCGATTTTGACGTTGAAATGGGAGCTCCACGTGAAACAAAGCGAGAGCACACTTCCAGCTCTTGCTCCGATGAACGCAGTGATGGCCGTGGTAAATCCCAACGGTCCAAAAAACCTCGACCCTCTTCTGGAGGGTCGAACAGTGCGTTGTAATTTGGTCGAGCAAGTGTCCCCTGGACACTTTCCAGGACACCGTCTAGAACTACGCGTCCAGGTTAGTCTTTACTTTTCATTATGGCTACTACACTGCATATTATTTCATTGAACGTTCAGGGTTTTCGCAGTCCGGCAAAGCAGGCTGAAGTGATTAGTGTCGCCCGCGCTGCAAATTGTGATGTTTTGTGCCTCCAGGAAACAAATTTTTTCTCGCTATCCGACGTGCTTGCTTTTAAACGAAGGTTCAACCTAGATTGTTATTTCTCTTTTGCTACATCTCGTTTTACGGGAGTAGGTATTATTATTTTTAACCGAGCTCTATTAAGGGATCATCATGCTTTTTACGATGGCGTGGGCAGGGTTTTGGCTTTAGACTGTAGCTACTTTTCTTTCAGATTAAGGATACTGTGTGTGTATGGGCCAGCGCAAGCTGGACAGTCTAATGACTTTTTTAGAGACCTGGATGTGTTTTTTCTTGACGGTCGTGACGTCATTTTGATTGGCGACTTCAACTGCGTTCTAAATACGCGAACCGATGTACAAGGTCCTGGCTGGGGCCGGTCTGCTTGGAATTCACGCGAGCTTCGCCGCCTTGTCCACCACTTTTCATTACTAGACGCGCACAATGTAGTGCACGGAAATACCTTTGTTTGGACATGGCGACGTGGACGATCCTCCAGCAGGCTCGACCGGGCTTATATCCCACGAGCGTTAGAGGCGTTTGTCTCTGATTTATGCGTTCCGTCCTTCCCACCTTCTCCTGTGTACGTATCTGATCATCGGCCTATTGTCTTGAAGCTCGAAGTTCCATTTTCTTTCTCAGAAAAGCCATGGCGTCTTGATGTTCGCGTCCTGCAGGACGCGCGCTCAAGATCAGATTTGTCACGCGCAATACGTGTGTCGCTCACGGCGTCTGGTCCTGAAGATTGGGATGCGCTTAAAACGCAGTGGCGCCTGCGCTGCGCAGTGGAGGGGCGTTCGCTTCGTCGACGCGTTTCTGAAGAGCTTTCTGATACCGCGATGAAGTTACGCATTGCTTTGCGCGCCGAGACGCCTTCTCCTCTGATGCGAGCGTGGCAGCGTGAACTGCGTGAACGCTTTCAGCGCTTGACTGCTGCTTCGTCCCTGGCGGCAGCAGCATGGCGCTGTAGACACAACCCATGTGCACATCCCGAGGTGCTGCGCTACGCGAGACATTCCTTTTTTGGGCAATCAGAGTCACCTGTCTCTATGACAGCACAAATACCACCTGCGCAGCGGCTTCCTACGCGTGATCGATCTGTTTCTTGGCGCATTTTGAAGCAATGTCGTGTTCGGCCATGCGGACTAACTGTGATGAAACACCGCCAATGCTTAGAAGTTTGCCCCGTATTCCTCAAGAAGTTGCAGATTGCCTGCACATCCCTCCGTCGGCTGAAGAGGTAAAGGTGGCACTGAAATCTATGAAACGTGGAACGGCCCCAGGGCCAGACGGTTTACCTGTTGAGTTTTACTTGACATTTTGGGATGAGATTGGTGCTACAATTACCGCGGTAATCCGGCGATGCTACGAGGACGGTGTCTTTCCATCAAGTTTTCGAGATGGACGCATTGTGCTTATTCCAAAGGGTGATTCTTCCTCTGTTAATCCTGAAGATTGGAGACCTATCACGCTCCTCAACGTTGACTATAAGATATTCGCGGCGGTAGCCGTTCAACGTTTGAGGGGTCTGTTGAACACCCTAATAGGTCATCACCAGACTTCATCAGTGCTTGGACGAGAAATACACAGCTTGTCATATACGACACGGGATATCATAGCTTATACTTTGTCGCGATCTGCGCGTGGTATCCTTGTGTCTTTGGACCAGGAAAAAGCGTTTGACCGACTAGAGCACGCGTATATCTTTAAAGTGCTCACAGCCTTCGGCTTTTCTCATTCGTTTGTGGAAATGATTAAAAATACGTACACTGGTCTGAAAAGCACACTAGTTCTGGATGGTTGGGAAAGTGCTGCCTTTTCCATAACACGTGGGGTCCGTCAGGGTTGTCCATTGTCTCCTGTGCTATTTGTCCTCAGCCTTGAGCCATACTTGCGTGCTCTTGACGCGGATTCACGTGTCCGGGGTCTTGCGCTTCCTGGTAGCGGTGTCGTGAAAGTCACAGCTTTCGCTGATGATATAACCCTGTACCTTTCAGATGAAGATAGCCTTTCACGCAGCCTGCATGTATTTTCCCAGTATGGCGACATTTCAGGTGCAGCGTTGAACATCTCCAAATCCCGGTATTTCTTCATTGGCTCTCCAAACTCCAGGCTTAGCGCCGGTGTTCCCATTCAGCCGGCCGCGTCCCTTCGTATTTTAGGTATTTCATACAATCACTACGGCATTTGCGAATCTGTTTGGTTAAACGCTCTCGTGGAAGTAAGACTGAAAATTCAGGATGCACAGGATTTTGACTTCCCGCTTCTTGAGCGGAGGTACCTTGCGCAGACTGTATTTTGCGGTCGCATTTGGTACCTTTCTCACGTCGTGCAACCATCTTTACGTATCGTGCGATCACTACAGTCTGCTTTGTGTTCCTTTTTTTGGTCAGGCGGCACTGAGTTGGTCTCTCGCGCGGCACTGGGACAGCAGCGTGCTCAAGGAGGCTTTGCTTTCCCTTCAGTGTCCATACGCTGTCGGCTGCTGGCACTGCGTTTCCTTTTGCGCCTAGTGCAAGGGGAGGAATCTCCCGCACGAACGCTTGCATACTACTTTCTGGGTACTCACCTTCGCCATTTGATGCCTAATGCGCAACTTAACAGGGGGCCACAGTCAATAACACTTCCTGCGTTTTATGCAACAACTGTTGCATTTTTTCGCCATGTCAAGTCGAGCTGTCCTGGCATAGATGTTTTGAACAACCACATAGTTGAGACAACTGCTGCTTTGTTGCTTCCGTTGGTCCCGCCAGCCCGCCGTGCTCGCTCTAGACGGGTGTCTTGGAGCTCCTTAACGGCTTCTTTTCTGCCTGGACACCTTCGGGACTTCATGTGGCGCCTGGGATGGGGTGTACTTCCCACTCTCGACCGCCTCGAAAGGTGGAGAATAGTCCAGTCAGCAACATGTCCGAACTGCTCCCTTCGGGAAACAAATCAGCATTTTCTGAGGCATTGCATCATTGCTCGCGTTTTTTGGAGAGCCGTACATGCTGGATTTCCCTGCCTCAGAGTAAATCGCTTCGTTTCTTCTGGGCGTTGTTCGCGAGGCCGCTTCGCTTGTCTTCTCATTGTTGCCGGCGCTTTCTGCCTCTGGCGCAACCGCTGCGAGGCGGTTGCAGCGGGCCGCCGCCGCCGCGCGCTCTACCCGATCCTAGAACGATTGTACTCGGAGCTGCTGTCTGTTTTGTCGGAGGAGCTCTTCTTCCTCGGTGAAGAGGAATTTCTTCGGCACTGGTCTTGCCCTTTTGTGTCGGTCTATGACGGACGAGTGAAACTTGTCTTTCGGCCGGCCTGGTATTGGTAGGCTGAACTGTCGATGTGCCGGCAAAAATGGCATGCCAACATGTAAATATGCAAAATGCACATATTTATGTTTTATTTGTCTCTTGTTTACCTTGAAGTATTTTGTGGTTGTGTTTGAGTGAACCATCGAATGTACATGTTTTTTCAACGTCATCTCATATCCATGTTCATGTAAATGACGTCTGTCTTGTCATCATCGTTAGAGTATGTCTAAGACGGAAATGTTCTGTTGAGTGTTATTGACGTTTGTGGCAATAAATTTTTTCTAAACACATAACATTATGCAATATCTGATCACAGCTTTACAGTGGATTATAGTGTCTGTGGTGCTCGGCTGCTGATACGAAGGTCGCGGATTCTACCCCGACTGTGCCAGTCGCATTTCGGTGGGGTTACAATGGTAGAGGCCCATGTGCTTTGCTATGTAAATGCACGTTAAAGAACGCTAGATAGTAAAAACTTCCGGAGCCCTTCACTATGGCGTCCTTCATAATCATACCGTGGTTTGGGGACGTAAAACTTTAGATGCTATGATTTTGTCACGAATTGGTATGTTTCAGAACACAGCCAGCGGATTTCTAAGGCATAAGCAACCTGTGTAACTGTACACAACGCAATGATGTGAATTACATTTACGCGTCAGTCGAAAAGAGACTGTCCGTAACACCTCAGTCTGCTGCCGTACAGTGAAACCACACGTGTGGCATTTTCGTTCGTAGGCTAAGCGTCGTGTATTTAGCTCGTCAATAGTGTTTGATGTTGTTGGGCACACATGTGGCTGAGCTGAGAGCGCGTGTGCGCTTTGTCTCTTGTCCTAACCTTTTCAAGGTCATGGAAGAGCTCAAACTGAAAATAAAAGAGAGCATCAAAACTCGTATAGAAAGGTAAGCAGCCCCTTAAGTGAACGCATGCACTAACGAGTCCTGTGTGCATGCGACTGCATATAACCCGTCTCGACACGTGCGAAGATACAGGAATCTGTAAATCCGTAGCCGTAAGCGTCTCGACCCGGAGAACAAATGTGATTCGTCTGTTTGTGTATGTGATTCCCGTTTTCATAACGTAGCTACAGTGTTGGCTGTGTGTCGCTCGATTGCCTGCATTTGTCGCCCACCTTTTCTTTCTTTTTTGTTTATTGTGTGCCGTGATGATGAAAACCTGTGGATTTAAATAGCATCTTGAAAACGTATTCGAGCTCTGTCTGCATTGATGGGCCGAACGTACAGTTTCATGACGAGGATCTACCTTGTCTACAGTAACCTGAGTATCTTTGCGTATAGCGCTTTTGAGCGCTGGTAGCACAAACTTAATTGTAATTCGAGAGAGAGAGAGAGAGACCACCTTCACGCAAAAACAGTGGACCTCTCTGCCAGTATAGGATATGATTACAAGGTTATATCGAACCACGGGTGCAGCAAGCATGTAAGCGAATGAATCAGGCGAGAAATATTTGCAGTGCAGGTAATTTTACATTAGGAGAAGTGGAGGTTGCATACTTGAAACAACTCCTTTAAACTTTATGCCTAAAGTTCTCAATTGCCCTAAAAGTTATGAGTTGGCCCAACTGTTATCATATATTCTCGTGTGTACACACTATTCAAACGTATTTATAGCGTTATAGCGCTTACTCCCTCACCCTCTTTACGATTTCTTTTTATCACTTTTTCTCTTCTACTCTCTTCAAGGGCCTATACTGTGCAATCTGTCTCTCGTGTCCCGCAGGTCGGAACTGTGTTCACATCAATGCGAGGCCAGGCCGTAAGTTGAACGGAATGCGAAAGCGCCGGTCCGTAGCTTTTATGGGACGCTGTAGTTTCGGTCCCTGTTTATTTTTTCCCCTTCGTTCTTAGTTACTTTCTCGCACATCCACCACTGCACGACTGCAAGTTACTCGCGAGCAAAATCATACATCTCTTAATCTTACTAGCTCGTTGACCAGACTGTGAACGTCATGTGCAGTATGTTAGCCAACATTCCCCTTGTGTCATGCTCCTTAGTTTAGAAGGGGGCCGTTGTTTCAACATGCTAAAGCCGAACGCGTCCGTCGCTATTCCCTATTTGTGTACTGATTGATGTCTGCTGTCAAAACGATCAGGTAAAGCATGAAGTTGGCAGTTCACTAAACCACCCGTGGAAAGTGCCAAATTACTTGAAAAATTCCTTGCATAACCACAACCTTTCTACGCTTATAGCTTACACTCAAGGAGAAACTACAGAGCGAAGAGAACAAGGCTTGAAGATTAACTTTGTAGTGACGGACATTGGCCACGAAAGCCTGTAAAGTTCGTCGCAAGAGGTGAATTATGAAAGTAGGTTACTTTTGCTTTCTTAATACGTCTTTAGCCCTGCGTTCATTCAGTGCGTCAACAAAACTATGAATTTACTTTCGGCCTTTGCCTTACTAAAATAATAATAGAACTCCGAGAAATCGCACTAATCACTAATAGCGTTGCAGAGCCTGTAGTATACGTTAGTACTGCCAGTGGTATAGTAGCGATAGCTATAGAACGTGTGCCTTCTGGCCTTGACGCAATGACACCTTATGTAAAGGGGTTAATAAAAACGGGCAATTGGAAGGCGACTTTGACGCAAATAGAAGCCATGAATATAGTATTTGTGCGCGCAGCATGGTTAACAAAAAACAAATGTTGTAAGTATACGACGTCATCGTGTTTAATACCCGGACGGCTTATTGGTGTTGTAGCTGCATGAAAACAAATATTTTATTGTGCTAGAACTAGATCTCGAGTAATAGTACGGAATTCGAATGCTTGCACGTACTGCTCGCGATTCACATCTTCTTCGTGGGGATATGTTTAGACTTCTGTGCATTTAATAAAAAAGTGCGTCGACATGCCATGATTACACATATGTACACTTTTGTATAAACGCATCGCTTCGACCGGAGGTAGTAGCTAGTATGTAAATGATTGCCTATCGCGTCTCGCATTGATGTTGGTCACACAGCATTGAGTTGCGTGCTGAAATGTATTTTTTTATAAGATGATCTAAACATATTCATTCTTGAAGTTATAGCAGTGTCCCCAAGCTCTAGGATAGATAAAAAAAGAAAAGACAGTTACACTCCAAGTGTAAGCTGCAACAACTATGGATATTGAATATGTTTGCGTTTTCTTTGTGTTTATCTTCTTTTTTATATGTTATCTTCTTGCGTTTAAGTGTTTTTTCGTGCTCTTTCTGGTTTTCGGGCGATTCTGTTACACTTTATATCCTTTTGTGTTACTTTCTTGTGATTATCTGATTTGTCTAGCGCATATCTAATTCCTCTTCCGTGATCTCCTCTGTACTGTTGGCTGCTTTGATTGTAGTGCGTATAACTCAAGGAACTGGCATTTTGAGTTTGTGTTTTTTTAGTTGGAGTTTACATGTGACTAGTACATTAAAAAGCTGTATACGTGGTTCTATTCAAAGTGGAAAAAGAAAAGCTGCATGTCACAGCTTCACTGGCCCTTCACACGGAAACAGAAAATACCAATTACAAACTTACAAGAAGATTACAAAAAACGGCAAAGGACAGTACAAAAAAACACGAATGTGGCTTATGACAGCAAATAATAAAATAACAACTCTAAAATACATACAAACAATTCAGAACAAGCTATTTGTGAACGAATGAAGCTAAACATTACATAAATCATCTAACATTCACGAAGAACACAATCAGCACACCCAGTTTAACATGGCAGTTTTAGACAACATACAAATATTATCAGTTATTTCCATTTGTTCATCGCACTTTGAACGCGGTAACGTAGCGTTTCGAATACACAGTTAGTGCGAATCCACAGTTAGTGCAAGTCTCCGTATACCGACTAACGCGACTGGCAGGATTCGGTTTCAGGGCAGCCAAAGTGCGTAAAAGGATTCATCTTCTGCGAGTTTCTGATTTAAAGGTTGACAGAAGGTGCTATTCATAATAAATAGTAACTCTTAAATATTATATTTTCCGAATATTGAGGCAATGTGTGCGTTATACGAGAACATTCAATGCGTTGCAAGACATTTTTTCTTTAGCATGACAAGTTTATTTAGTGATGCTTGATAGCCTGTATACCATACCAGATGAGAATAATGTAAATGGGAAGAAAATTGGCGGCGTATCTTGGCGCTTCACTGCAAAGGACGTCAAAAGACGATAGTCTTCTGTCTGGAGGCGTTGCTTGAGATTTATGGGGCCATCTGGCAGTATTGTTAAGAAACGAAAGTTTATTTAGAACGCAGAGCCACTGGTAGGTGGCAGCACCAGGTCGTTTTAGTTAAAGCCCTGACTCCATTTTCCCTCCCCATTCTAAATAATAAAGTTTATTCCTCCTCCTCCTGACTTATAAATGCAGAGCATTTCTTAGTCTCACGTTGTCGCGTTTCGGCATCGGTGGCAGTGCCGTGCACACCTCCACTGACCATGCTCGCGCCTCGTGCCGGCCCAGGAAGACAACCAGAAAACTGGCGCTCCCCTTCCCTCTCTCGCCTCGCAAGGCCGACGCAGAAAGAATGACTTCTCGAGCTGCACAACCGTTCACTGGCCACCCCGTATATGTAGGCACTAGATAGCGCGTTAGGAATTCAGTCAAGGACGTCTTTACTTTTTTCTTCGCTTCACGTTGAAGGTAACGGTTCTTTTTCATTAAAAATATTAAAGACAAAATAACAATTAAGCATTCACAAACCATATCCTATTACGCAACGTTCACGCGATACCCCCGCCACTCTGCGACGCATTTACTTGAGTTCCCCCTCTAGGAAAAAGCAAGCGGAAATTTTTAGATGCGAAGCAGCTCTTTGACTCCCTTGTATAACGCCACATGTCCGTACGGCCGTACGAGCGAAGTGCAACGCGTTCCTCTCACCGCAGGTGTTGCAGAGGTGCCAAGTAGGTCACGCCGAAGCTGCGCGTTGACGTCACACTCTCCTCACAGATGCGCGCTGACGTCCCTCTTTCTCACCCACAGCACGCTCGCCGCTGCCGGCTCCTCTGCCCGCTCGCAACACTCTTCTCTCTAGATTCACCCTCTCCACCACCCGCAACGCTCGATTGCACGTCGAGTGGGAACACTCTTCCGCCTCGTTTATCTCCGATGATACTTACACGAAACCCAACCCGCCCCCCCCCCCCCCGTGTCTTTGCGTTTCAAACAAACGTTTACTCAAGTAAACGCTACATGTCAGTTTCGCTTCAAACTGTTCTTGCAGCACCCGCGTCGACGCCCGTTTCAACCAGGTCAACGCCGTGCGCACTTCTGCTGCTTTGCAACCCAGCAGGGTTCCCTTCGGGAAGCTGGTCCCTAAGTTACTTCAGTGCATCCTCTATTTTTTTAGTGCCCGGGCGAACGCTATCTTCAGGCCGTTGCCTCCTCTCGCCGCTGCCGCATGATGGCGCAGCGCGAGTAGGCTTCGTGATGCTGGCGCTAAACGGCCGCGCGTGTTAGGGAGCTCACGAATTTGTGTTTAATGCGAGTTAAACTTGCAGTCGTGCTTTTTGACAGTTTTCATGGATGCAGGGAGCATGAAAAGTAACATGAACTTAGCGGTGCTCTGTTTTCACCGGGCTCTCTCAGGCCGTGTCCTGTTCGATATATGCGTTTGAGATTTATAGCATTCGCGTTTTATTTTTTTCTTTCAAGCTTTTCCAACCTCATCATTTGCATGCCTCAGTACATAATACTGCTGTGTACCGCTCTGCATATCTGACGGAAGAAATCAGCTTCTTTTTTTCATTTCTCAGTAGTTACAAAAAAAAAAACTCGCCAGATCCCTTATGGACTCACCTGAGATGAACGAAAAGGAAAAGCTATCCTCGTTTTCTTCTAATCTAATGCACGGATTTTTTCTACTTTCCTCCGGGATATTTCTGCGCCCAACATGTTTTTTTTTACTGCCTCAAGGATTGGAGACAAAGCTACCTTTCTGCTCCTCAGCTTGTCTAGCAGGGCCCTCATGATCGACCCATTTCAACCAAGCGAAGATGGTATACGATGCCGTCATGTAATGTGACCTTCCGATACGTCACAAACATTTGAGATATGTGACGTCATACGATGACGTTTTTACGCAATGATGATTTTTTGTATCACTCGAGTTCACACCCCCTACGCGAGAAGACACTGGACGGCGATCAATTTTCGCTTTTGAAGAGACATTTAAGCTATCGCCTTAATGAACTGTATGGCTGTAGTTCCATGAAATTACAGCTTTCGCTGGTGTTCGGGGGAACGTGGTAGCAGTAATCAGACAGAACAATTTGTCTCCGGATGAATCAGCGTACTGAACTTTTATATGTAGTCGTCATTTATAACCCGACTATTTATGATTATAAGTAGTGGTGGCTGAAGACATTTTCGTCACGTTTGGCATCATGGCAATTGGTATCAGTAAACGGGAGTGCGCTGCATCCTAACAGTCAACAAATGAGTATCGGCAACAACGCTGCCTCGCGATCACTGCCGTGTGCAACGCTATACATGACGCCCCGATGCTGAATGGGAGCCCATAGACACCACACAGCCACTCGGCCTTTACTCCGCTCACTACCGAATTAAGAGGCGAGAGGGAAGAAGAAAGAAACAGAACTGAGCAGCCGGAAATTAAGGCTACAACAATCCGTCCACGAATATGCAGACGAGCTCAAGCGACTGACCACAGGCCGCATTTTTCATACCTGTCACCTTGGCTAAAGTTGAGAGTCGGCATTAGACTTCAGAATTTAACAGCGTCTGTTCAAAACATAGGCAGTGATCACAGAAATCACGCCGCATATGGATCTGTGCTTGTTTATTTCGCAATGATTTCATTGTTAAAGCTCTCAAGTGGTGAAATCGCCTACCATAGTTCCTCATTTTCTGACTCTTGCTTTTTCTCGATGGCAACACATGTTATGCTTTGTGAAGGAAACGGATGATGACCTATATCCCTGGAAGCAGTCTAGTGGTGTTTTGTGCTATTTAGTGCATAAACTCCAGGATTGCACATAATGGGCTACGCCACTAGAAAGCAGAAAGCATCGGGGAACATCAGGCACCCAAGCTTTTAATATTAGCTCCTGGCAACGGCTTCTCTGAAAAATCGACATAAGGTAATCAAAAAAGCAACTCTCAGTCAAGCGAACGCTTTGGTGACAAAATGATCTTCCGCGGATTACTGCCATGAGCTGTCTGGTATCGGCCTAGCAGACGACGCGCGAGAGCCTTGATCAAGTAGTCGCGAACGGCACATGCTTTTGAAATGAGCTAAGTGTCCAGAACGAATGCTTCACGATTTTCGTTTCCAAGTTTCCATTACACATCAAGCAAATGCGAATACAGACGAAAACCGAGCCGTATAGCAGCTTCGAATGCAGCCGCGGTATCCGTTTGCGCAAGGGACGATGCAGTGGCATCTCTACTCCAGCTGCAGCGCCTGTCGGCAAAATGCCGCATTAGCACCGACGGCCGCTTCCCATTGAAATCCGCTCCTTCTCCCGGGCACTGAAAAAATAGAGGATGGTGGTGGTTACGTTTAGCGATGCGTAGGAAACACCCGCCTCTTCGCTCGTAGCGTCGCATTGTCAGCGCAGTGCAATAAAACTTCAGTCTTTATAATTACGTATATATGCACATTCAAATAAAAATGCACACTGCCTAACACTTAAGTATTTATGTTGCGCTTCAAATATGTGTTATATTTGCTTTTTGGCTTACCATGTTAACAAGTATGAACGCAGCCACCAGATCAAGATGGGTGGGCTTTGAGCAATGGGTCTAGACTTTTGTCGGGTGGGTGAATAGTTGGACATCAAACATACATAGTATGTCATACTTTCATCGGGGACAGCTTCCTGCTCTCCCATAGTAGAGTACGAAGTACTCAGCATCGTTAAACACTTTTTATAAACACACGTATTACCTATGTACTCGGCGACAACTTTCTGTGGCAGCACAGCCAAGGGCTACGAAGCCCAAGCACGCCCTCGTTTACTACGCTTCTGCATATAGTCCCCAAACGCTAACTTTTTTTATACTGCGTAGCATAATGGAAAATCCAAAAAGAAAAGATTTAAATCTTATGTTCATGATTTTTTCTGAAATAAATCTCAACGCTTCAAATTAGCTTTGTGTTTTTTCACGTGAAAAGAGAAATGATTTATTCATTAGTAAGTGAAGTGAAGTGAAGTGAAACAACTTTATTCGGTCCACAAAAGACGCGAGTAAACTCAGCGTCACCTGGCTAGGCCCACTCGGGGACCATCAGGTTAAACCTGACGGCCCTTGCGCGGTCCCTCTGGACGGCCAGGATTTGAGAGGTCTGGTCCTGGGCCTTAATGAGTCGCTTCATTTCCTCTTGGGTGAAAGGGGGACCGGCAGAGGCGCAGCCCCACAGTACATGCTCGAAGTCCGCATAACCACCACACAGGGGGCAGTCCGGGCTTGGAAAACGTTCAGGGTACATTGTGTGCAGTGCCGCAGGGCTCGGGTAAGTGTTTGTTTGTAGCAGTCGGAGAGTAACAGCTTGGGCCCTGCATAGCGAGGAGTTTGGTAGAGGCAGCAGTCTTCTTGACAGATAATTCATTAGTAAGTGTAAGATTTATTGCATGGTGGTGGTGTGAAAAAAAGTACATGTTGGATGCGCTTGTGAAATCGAAACCGAAATCGCACGAATACGGACTAGTTGGCGTAGTAACACATGTGCAGAAGCTCCGCCCACGTAGCTTTGGTTGTGCTGCCGAAGAAAGTTGTCGCCGAGTGTGGTACTCAAAATTGCATTGCATAATATTTCGCCTCCACATACATGTTCCGTAGATCTGTGTCTGTCTAAGCTGGCGTTTCGCTGTCGCTTTGCTGGCTTGGACGCCAAATTAACGGGAACGCCAGTGTTCATGGGCAAGCACTCTCTTACGTTCCAAACTGACAGCTTGTTCGGATTGTGCGTTCCAAACGCGGAACCTGTGACGCAAACGCGAGGCTTGACACGACTACAGGGCGGCCCCTTAGCCTGCTCCGCAGTAGAAGCTAATTAATGTATTGAGAAACAGCACAGGCAATTGTATTTACCCGAACTAACGAGGACCCTTCACACCTTGAAAGTAGGGACGTGGTGTGTCAGAATTATCCTCTGCAAAATTAAAGCTCTCTTCCAAACTGTGCAGACAATTAATCGGCACGCCTATTTCAGTGCCTAAGTTATGCGTGAACGCAAACTCTAATGCTAAATGCTTACGTAAACTGAGCCCTTGCAATAAATGCAAAGCGCAAAAAATAATAAACAAATAAGCGATCCTATTTAGAGACCACGAAGAAAGTCGCCCGGCAAAGTATTCTGTTACAAATTTTTGCAGCATAGGCAATGCCGCCTGTCTTGTCTGCTTGACGCAAGAAAGGTTCCTATCGTTTTAGAAAATATCCAACAATGTTGAATGTGCAGCTTGCGTAAATCACTGCTTTAAGATGCGTGACGTTTATATGGTACAGGCAATAAATTTTCTATTCAAAGTGGAGTATTTATATACTGTAAAAAAAAAGACGCTCCTTTTGTTACAAATAGAATATTTTTTTTTCTGTCTTACTATACCGACTTCAATCATTGGTCGTTAAAACAAAGGTTTAGGCTGTGTGCCATCTAGCAATAACTAGCATATACGATCTGGTTGGGCTTTGGAAAAGTCTTTACGTACCACTTAGCACCTTTTTTTATTGAATGACGTGATGTAAGGAGATGTCGGCGCACAAATATGGCTCCGGCTACTTCTTATTCCTTAAAAGTGTCTAATAACAAAGTCCACGTAGGGCCCAAGTCACCAAACGTAACAAGTCCACAGCATAAACAATACATAACTTAGCATAACATTTGGGAGATGAAATTTCAAAACAAAGTATTCTACAATCGTATATATGTGCATATACGCTGATGTTAACAAATTTCAGAGCCCACAGCGCGTACATTCAAGAGTCTTATAATTGTCAACATTACAGTGAATAGTCCTACATTTGCACTGTCGCGTAAAAAAGAAAAAGAAAATAACCATTATGCAATAATACCGGCCAAGAATGCCACTTTATCGAAAAAAAATTCAATGCTTCACCGGCGCACTTCAGTGAACCTCTTGTTGGCCACGGGCCCAAAAGTTTCCTTAAACCGAACTCTTCACAGAGCACACTTGTACTGTGTGCGATTAATTTTTTCTATGCGCGAGTCAGATTTGAGGCCTCGCCTACGCAACGGTGCCCTTATATCGACTGAAACGAATTCGTAAGCGTCACTAAATTTAGATACAGTAAGCGACTTCTCGAGAACGTTGACATAAGTGCGTATTGACCCGGAAAGTCCCGTGACTCTTCCCACTTGCGACAACGGTCTTTCTCACCAGCGAAAATCCAATAAACGACCGAGAATCACGCTACACTCGACACGCCAACGATTGCCTGCTTCCGTTTATAGTGTGTTCCTGCCTGTGCATGCGTGTTGTCCTTGCTTGCCTTTTTTTTTTTTTGTTCTAAACATAGCACGCTCTATCCAAGTCCGAACTTCAAGTTTGCCCGAACAGAGAGAAACTTCGCCGAAGAAGTTCTTCCTCTTCTTCTTCTCGCAGAATCCCGCTCATCAAGCGAGGTACCCCTGTGCCAAACTACTACACGACCTCGGACGAGAGAATTCTCGAGTACGACTTTGACAAGATTGTGTTTGAGGAGAAATCCAAGTACCAGCACGTCAAGATCCTGCACTCGCCGACGCTGGGCAACTGCCTCCTCTTGGACGATCTTCAGAGTAAGGTTGTGGTCGAGGCCATAAAAGCGGCATGCTAGCGCAACGTACACGCTATAGGGGGAAAAGAAAGACACTATACTCCATCAGTAGTGGCTGGCCGCGTAAAAGACTCTATTCAAGGGTCACGTAAGCTCTTTTGAACTCCCGCGATTATTCTACGAGAGTACTATGACTTCCAAAGAGAGTTCACTTGTCTCTTTAATGAAAGTTATATACGTGGCATGTCAGGACTTCCAAAATGAAAAAAAGTCCAAGCTAAGTTTTTTTTTTTGTCTTAGACTGTATCATATTAAATTTGTTTTCTGATCGACACCATTTAACTTATGAAGAGCAACGCGTATGTATGTTAGAATTTCAACAAAATTCTTTCGACGCGTGCATTAATTAGACAAAGTGAACGTGGCATTATTTTTGAGCTTACCGCTTCAAGCGAAGGAGCATTATCGCAACTGGGCGTGAAACAAAACACTGGTCTGGTGAATGCACGTATAAAACAAGTATCACGAATTCGTTAGGGACGATTATTCCTTGAGGGCCTCTCTGTAATGGCGTTGCTCTGGCTGCACTTTGCTTTCGATAGATGACGTTTGCAGTTTCGTTCATATGATAATCATAAAATGCCTGTAGCCAACTCAAAAAAAAAAACGGAAGGCATGCACTCGAAGCATCTACTTTTGATATGAACAGAACATGTTGCAATGTGTCATCTGCAGTATCCAATAGTACGGGAATACGTTCGCATAGTGTACTGTGAAACGAGCCGTAAATCTGTGCGCATGCATGGTGACCTGCAGCACGACGACATGTGAATGATTTTTTTTTTTATGAGACGTGCTCTAGGGAGAGAAGCAAAGCGGCAAAAGAAGAGCGAAAGCAGGTGGCGCTTCTGCAGTTTGATTACAGCAGAAGTTGCTTTCGTGTCAATGGCCACTTGAAGTGATTCAGACAATAAGCGTGGCGAACTCTAAACTTCGCAAATGCATTATGACGGTTTGTTAAATTGCGTGTACGTAATGGATTGTGCCTTGTTTTTGAGGGTGTTTTGAACATAGAGAGATGGATAAGAAAGTGCGCAGAGATAGATATAGAGCATGCTGTTTTGTAGGAGTACCATGTGGCTATTTTTCATATGATGATGATGCTGATGTGGTCACTAAGGCCGCGAGACTCATCCACGCAGGCAATCGTGATAGCTTTTGTAAGTGTGCCCGAAGAATAGACATTATATAGGCCGCATTTCCAACTTATGCCTCTATCTTTATTCTTTCAAGCAAAACGCAATAACCTACGCAGTGCACCTGAGTGGAGCGTGTTTCGGAAGCTTCGCTTGCTTATCCCTGCTTGGCTTCGCTTTTCAGATCTTGCCGAAAAGGACATCAACTACACTCACGGCCTGATGAAATATCCCAGCGTCAGCTACGCGGACAAAGAGGTGCTCATACTAGGAGGTGGCGATGGAGGCCTCCTATGTGAATTGCTCAAAGAAAAACCCAAATACGTCATCATGGTGGATATATCCTTTCCTATTTCACGTGCCCTGATGTCCGATCACCTTTTCGAGAAATCCGTATGCAGAAACGTACATGATTTTTTGGCTAAAGATACTTTAGAGGAAGAACGATTAATTTTATTTGATTTGAATGTGCTAAAAACCACTAATACACAGATCAAATAGGCAAGGAACAGGCTGAAAACTTCCACCTTGAGTGCATCACACCAGCAGCCTCCTCCTTAGGGAGGGGGAAACAGAGGAAAGCGGGATAAGCGGAAATAAAAGAAATGAAAACTGCAAACTGTAAAGGGATCTCACTATTGCCCTCCTAAACGCCACTATTGTTAAAAAGACGTTATTTATTTTTTTAAACATCTGTGCTTCCGAGCGTCACTGCTCGAACAAAACTTCTCAGACCACAGTGATTATTCAACAGAGCTCGAGAGCTTCTGTAAGTTTCTCAGATCTCTCCAAAATGTGACCCTTGACGACACCATACATTGACGAAATGGTGATCAACGCCTGTCGCCAGCATCTTAGGGGAGCTTGCGGCGACGTTCTCGACACACTGAAGGGACCCAATTACGAGGTGAGCATGCTTGCGCGTCTCTGTATCAATTTACAACAATCAATGTACTACAATGAATGTACTCAGTGTACTGTAGTAAATGTACTACAAACAATGCACTAGCTGGGAACACACAAGGACATTGTTCAAAAGTGAAGGATCACCTGTACAGTCATTATCATTCACTTCGTAGATTGTTTTGTTATACGGCTGATAGGGGTGCACTCCTTACGGGATATTACCTTTTTCTCATTTTTTATTGAAATGATGAAATAGGAGAGGTTGGTTCCATTATGGTGGCACCGGCTACTCCTTTTCTCTTAGCAGGCAAATTATGCCGTACGATCAACAATAAGGGCACAAAATGCGAATCTGTACAACATACGATGTGAAAGTACACATTAACGAAACTTCACAGGTCAGTTCGCATACAGTTAATAGGTTCATATGCTCCACACACAAGGTCAGTTCTCTTCACATGACACATCATATTCGCCTAATAGATACATATGAGCACCATTTCCACATACAAGGTCAGTTCACACTAGATGCAAATGTACACAATTTCCACATACAAGGTCAGTTCACACTGACACAGATGATTACACATATTAAGCACACTGTATAAATATTTCATACTTCATTTTGCATGAAGACAACATCGCGTACGGTAGGTCAATATTTCCATAAAATATCTGATTCCTCAAGAAATGTTTTGAAGACTACAAATGCTCCTTTCTGAAGACCTGCAGTTGGCCATGGACCTAGTATTTTCGTCACTGTGAAAGGCCTCCTTTTAAAAGTTGTAAACTTCCTCGTAATAGTTGCCTTTGTGTTTCATATTTGAGGCATTCCAGAAGCAGGTGAGGTACGTTTTCGCCAGGGTGGCCACAAGATCACTCTGTACTTGGCGCACGTTTTATCCCGTGTTGGAAGTGTCGCGTAGATGCTGTACCAAGCCGTAGGTGGTGGACCAATGTTCGGAATTTTCTATTTTCTCTCAACTCCGATGGGATGCTTTGTTTTATGCAAGGGTCTATTAAGTATAGGTCTGAATTTCTAAATTCTTCGTCGAGCCATTTGTCTGTGGTGACACTACAGGTTAGCTGTATGAGATGTAAACGTATTTCGGTGAGTGAAATTACACGCATGACGTGTCATGAAGATGAGAAAAAGGTGGGCTGGCACCTTTTTCTCATCTTCATGACACGTCATGCGAGTAATTTTTCTACGAAATTTCAAACACAATATGACGCTAAATGTTCCCCGTCAGTTTATTTGCGTTCATAAGTGAAGTATTAGGATGGCGTGGTTGTCAGCGGCAGTGGGTTGATCCGAACCTCTATAGACTTTTGTATCCCTGTGTAGCCTTCTACAAGAATGTGATTCATAATAAAAAAAGAGCCTTGTACTGTACAGGTCGCTTTTAAACGTTCTATCTCCGACGTGATCATCATAGCTTTTGTGTGGAAATTTCTGTAAGTTTTATGGTCGAAGATGGGGAGGTGAAACAACTAAATGCGAACGTTTGCTGTAAAGCTGGCTTTTTTGCAATAATAGTATTGGTGAGGCAAAGCCCTGCAAACAGAAAAAGGGGTGATTTTTTTTTCTATTTTGTACATACTTCGTACTGGCTCTAGACTAATCGAAGTATTCCATACAGTCTAAATTTAAATAACATGTACATTTTGGCACTCGCTGGATGTTTTCATTGCATCAGTTAAGATGAAAATAGATATTGTTATTCTCCTTCTGAACTGAAGTACGTTTTCTTTTCTCTTTGAAAGATAATTATAGATGACTGCGTAAAGAAAATGAAGGAATACATTACTGAAGGGCGGCAGTTTGATGTAGTGTTCAATGACCTCACAGACATTCCGATCAGCACGGAACCACAAGGTACGTGCCTAATTTGTGTTTTCGCTCTATACCGTATGTATTACTTGAAGTTGTATTACTTGAAGTTGTATTACTTGAAGTTGTATTACTTGAAGTTGTATTACTTGAAGTTGTATTACTTGAAGTTGTATTACTTGAAGTTGTATTACTTGAAGTTGTATTACTTGAAGTTGTATTACTTGAAGTTGTATTACTTGAAGTTGTATTACTTGAAGTTGTATGACTTGAAGTTGTATGACTTGAAGTTGTATGACTTGAAGTTGTATGACTTGAAGTTGTATGACTTTAAGTATGTATTACTTGAAGGGGTAATTCATAGATTAGAGCTCAACACGTTTTTTTTTTCTTTGGCATTAATAGGCGAGCACTGGGACTTCATTAAGAAGATTGTTACAATGGGACTTGCTGTGCTTAGAGTCAATGGACTTTTCCTCAATCATGTGAGTCTGTTTTCTTGCATCTTGAACTGCTTCCACGTTCGTGGAATTTCGCGAATTACCTTTATTATGATAATAATCGTGGCATCATTACAATGACTTCATTTATTACTATGAATTTGTTCATTCTCAATATTTATAGTGTTTGATTGATTAGCTGGCGAAGTTATTCGCTAGCGAATCCGTTCACTTAACAGAAAGTCACGTGTCACGTACTATTGTCAGTTACAATTGTGTGGCAGTCAGTATTTTTGGGCTGCTAATATAAAACTGTCACATTAACTATTTCATCTTAAAGTCCGCAATGTTCTAATCACCCTTTCTCTCTCAAATTCCAGGCCATAGGGGTCAGCTGTCCGTCGGCTCTCGAGACTTATGAAGAACTCCTGAAAGAACTGCCGTTCAAGCTCACATTTTCAAAGCACACTGCTCATGTGCCATCATTCATGGAAGAGTATCCTTCGCTCACGTTGAGTCATCAGCTTTTCGCGTGTAAATTGAAACTTAGCTGCCTAGAAACGTCTAGCGTCAGTATAAAACCACTTCCCGCAAACCTAACTTGCTTATTATTTGAAATTTAACCCTTCTTCGTGTCTTTTTTATTTGTATTGTTCTATGTTGTAACATCGAGCGTGTTTCAAGGTTACTTTAGGAGTTTTATCCGAGAAAACTTCTCTACCGCAACCGATGCTGTGCATGAGAATCCAGCCTTGTTACCCGGTCTTGGTTGTAGTTGTGTTGGCTACAGTTTTGCCTGTAATCGTGTACAGGTAGCTCATAGACGACTGCTAGATGCTTAAACTTCGAGTATGTCGCAGGCAGGGAGCCAGAAAACCAAGTTTTGTGTTACTTTACAGATAGGCATACAGAGTATACCTTCAGCTGTTAACCACTGTCTGTATTCGATGATACCTACACGCAAGTCATGCACCCGCCAGTCTTTTTTTTTTATTTATGCTTGATGGCTTGAAGTTGAGCCTCGATATAACACACATGTCTATACTGAGCTATTCGATATATTAAAATCACTGTAATTTTTCTAGGGCCAACTTTAGAGTTGTTCCACTGCTCTAGAAAGAACGAAAAGGTAAGCTTTGAGATAGCAGCTGTTATGACAGAACGAACACCTGTCCATTGACAACTAAATATATGTATTCCTGTAGCGAACACTTCAAATACTGCGCGTAGGCAACATAATACGCCAAGTTGTCGCCGGGAATGTGCGTTTTATCTTGGCTGGCCGTAGGCCAGAAAACCAACATTAGGATACCTACAATCGCACCGAACGCGTGGTTGGGTATTACCTAACCAAAGTGAAACACGTGTTTTTGTTCTGCTTCGATCACGTCTCGTTTAGTGGCCAGGCAAGCTGCCGATGGGTCATCAACATTCACACGAGGTCACCTATTGCCTCATCGGTGAAAGCACGTCACTTTTATTTCGCATAGATCGGGTCGCCATGTTTCGTTTGGCCGCATTGTTAGGGGGTGTGCTTACCACGTTTATGGGATACTGGCATATGGTTCGACCTCGTTATAGTGAAGGTTGACAATGCATCTCGCAAACAAGTGAGCTGTCCAAACACGGACACAATACACGAGAGCCAGCCAACACGAGCGACACTAGTAGAATGCGTTCGAGTACTTTGGTCCTCTTCCCTGGTGTGCACCTCTCTTTCGTCCACGACGAGTCCCTACTAAGCTCGTCGTGAATTCAGAACATCGGAAAGCCTAACTTTTTGATGTTTCGAATTTGACTGCGCTTTGTGAACCTTCAGGTCCGCGTTTACGTTTCCTTGACTCATTCTTGTCCCCCTTCTGTCCTGCCGCCACAGCTGGGTGTTCTACAAGATCACAAAGTTGGAATGATATTCGGGTGCCACTAGCAGCGCACGACACCTGTTACCACTTGTGGATCACTCTCTGCTCTTCCCAGAAGTCTCGGCCGCCGTCCGCTTCGGCTGCGTGGTGGAGTTCCCGCACACACAGCCTGCCACTTGTGGGGCCCACCGAATTACTACTCGTCCTTTTCTTCCTCTTCAACTAGTACTACCATTACTACTGCTGTTACTACCATTTCTCATCCTTTGCTTTACTGCTCCTCTTCCGCTTCCCACTTCATCGTCGTCGTACCGTGACGTCATTGCTCGCGTAACGGCAGGTTTCTTCCTAGCTGTAAGAAATGGGTGTGCTCTAGGCGGCTCAATGCTTTTTTCCTCACGTACGCGCGCTAAACCAAGTATAGATACGCTACCCACGTTTCAGCTATCGAATAAAAGAAAAGTTGCTCCACGGCTCGTTCGCAAGCGTCTCTTCTTCAAATTGAAATTGGTATCTACTGGTTGAGTTAGGCAACTGACTCTCGACGCGACTGCGGATTGGACGTTTTGCAGCGTGAGCAAGACTGTCTTATTCACTGTTTGATGGTGGCCGATTACGAAACTACTAAATGAACCTAGACCTTTAAGTGTTTTATACAAATTAAAGCCTGGGTTGCCGAGATCGTGCGTATAGCACGAGCTTTTCGCTGTGGTGTTCACCAAGCTCGCAGGACCATGGCTTGTCCAAACCAATTTCAAATGTGTCATGAAAATCCCGTGAAGCATTTCGTGACGGTGTTGTGTCCAAGTCGCAATCATGCCAAACAAGCCAACGGCTACTTGTATTGCGAAAGGTTGGTTACGTGGTTTGATGCTTTCAGCAAAACTACGCACTATATCATTTTAATACGCATTTATCCTTGCGCTATTGTAGACTAAAATATAGCCCAGGGAGCCCGGTGCAAATGAATTGCTGACATGGCCCGTACAGTTACAGGTAAAATAAACGCAATTTAAAATATAGCATGGCGTCAATGCAAATATAACCTGAGGTTGCGACAAGCAACTAAAAAACTGAAGATAGTTAAGTCGACGAACCTTGCACTGAATTTGGATAACAGCAACACTGATTAATATGGACTAACTTTTACATCTTCTGGATCACCGTGGCTTTCGTTCAACAACGGTCGAAGGACAGGTAAGTATACTAAATGTTAACACGGCACACGTCTCCACTAATTGGTGCCGAATGTTTTTTTTCTTTTTTGTGATCTGAATAGAACATTGAGTTCTCAGTTGCTGCTTTACTAATCCACAACGACATGTAAGTGCATGTTGTTTGGCACTTGACAAATAACGCACATATATTCGAAACGAAGATTATGGTGCGCTTGTGTACATGCAAGCGCTACTCAGTGTCTACGCCTGATCTTAGCTAGTCTCATACTTGGCCGACTACACATAGATGCATGGTGCAAGTCATTCACAAACATTTTTCTTTTTTGCTCTTGTTTTCGCTCTCGAGGTATGTTGCTGTTCCCGAGAACCTGGCCCGAAGCCAGGAAGTTTTTTTCGTGGGAGTCCCTCCTGCTTACCGCCGACTCAGCACCGGGTTGGAGACAGACTTTTAGATCGGTTCTCTCTTTCGAGAGAAATACTTTTCATCGTAATTGTTATCATTGGGAAGGGGGGGGGGGGGGTAAACTTATCGAAGGCCTTGACTACTTCAAGAAAACACCCATTTTTGTTATTTATTTTCACTAAAACACCCACCAGCAAAATTTCGGAGGAAGGGGGCCTTGGCCCCTATAGGGAACTTCCCCCTCTTTCGGCCCTATGCTAAGGGCCTGCCGTGAAAGACACCAGCTTGTCCTACTGTGTGCCGTAACCTTTTTCATACTTATTTATAAACGAAAAACATAGAAAAATGAGACGATGTGCTACGTTACAGCTGGCTATTCCATCAAAATGATATTTGTATTGAGAAAAACAGGAAGACAAGTCAATTAAGAAGATTTTAGGAATAAGAAAAGTAATAAGAAGCGCTGCTTACATATACAATCTCTGGCTCACAAGTAAAAGTGCAATGTAATCACATCTTCAGTGTAGTTCTCGGTACACATGTTTGTTCAGTTTGGTTTTTCAGTGATGATGGCTATTATCCGCTTTGGAGATTGACAAAGAGTATCGGCTTCGTTTTTTTTTTATCTTCTATGAATGGCTTACACCTACTAAGGAAGGTTGAGCAAATGCAGTTTCAGTTAGGCCAACAGAAAATGTGCTGGTCGGGTCCGGCGTAAATAGGAGTACAAGCGTGAAGGGCATGTCCGCATTTCGCCTTCTTACAAAAGCATGTTCACTTATGTGTAGAACATAACTTGGGGTGGGTAATTCTGACTTCTTTGGGCATGCCTTTTCAGAGCGAATGTGGTTTCCACAGCAACTTTCAGCATTTGAATACTCGGCAAGTGGGAGGTGCGCATTAGTGTTTCCGTTAATGATGGACTGCATTGCCCAATTGAAGATATTCTGCAGAAATCAACTACAATAAGTTGTTCTTCAGAAGTGGGAAAGGAAGGAAAAGCAGGATGGTCAACCAGACGTGGTCCGGTTTGCTATCCTGCGCTGGGGTAAAGGAATTAAGCGATAAAAAGATACGAGAGGTAGAAAGAACGGAGCATTAAAAAATTATTGTTGCGTTCTATAGTACTTAACGCAGGATCTCGGGTGCATCACGTTGTACTGTAGGTGGACTAATAGTGCCAACTGGTGGCTTGCAAGTACTGGACACAGACCATCCAGCGCCTGTTGTACGGAGTCTATAGGAGTGACTGAATAACTATGTTTATTGTTTTGTCTTCTTCAGGCTCAGTCATTCATTAAGTGTTCACTTATGAGAAGGTGCACTGTGACCGCAAATTGTTGCAATTTCGGCAATGAAGGCCAATCTGCGTCAGATGTGTCCATGCTTTCCTTGGTGCGTCCAGGTTGGACTTAGATATCCTCCTTAGCGTTCCTTTTTGCGTTTCTTTGCGCCCTGTTATTTACCATAAAGCATTACCATCCTGCAGATTTTCAGGGGCGAAGCTCCTTAAAGCGGCACCCGTTCGTCCTTCGTAGTATTCGTAGTCGTAGTGTGTAACCAGTCTTACGTTTCGACCTGCAAGGTGGTGCCGGTGGGAGATTTCTCCTGCGCGTTGTTGAACAATAAAAAGTTCGCAGCGTGCGCGTTAACTAAATGCCGAATTCTCCTGTCTCCCATTCCCCATTAGCAGCCATTGGCATGTACATTGAGCACTATCTGACAAGAAAGGGTTGCTACGTTATACTCGCTAGACGTAACCTCCTTGGTTTTAGAAAGGCTTAGCGAGCGTTGAGCCGCAGTGCCATGAATACAATGAACTAGCATATACAATGAACTCGAAGTGGTTAAAGGTGGGAAGTAGATACGAAGCGCAAGCCGTAAGAAAGTAAAAGCCTAATGCTCCTGTCTCTCATTCCCCGTTAGCAGCCATTGGCATGTACATTGAGCACTATCTGACAAGACATGATTGCTACGTCATACTCGCTGGGCGTAACCTCCTTATTTTAGAAAGGTTTAGCGAGCTTTGGGCCGCAGTGCAATGAATACAGTGAACTAGTATATACCATGAACTCGAGGTTGTTAAAGGTGGGAAGTAGACAGGAAGCGCAAGCCGTAAGAAAGTGTGTGTGTGCCACCTCTCGTTTAGTCCTTGGAATGTCCGCTAGATGGCGGTGCTTCAATACGGGGAATATATGATGAAAAGATTCGAGATGGTGGTACTTGAAGTGTTGAATATATGGACGAAAGGACACATAGACAGATGCATGGACGTACGCACGGATGGCTGTACGGACGGATAGACGCATGAACGGACGCAGGGGCGGATGCATGGACGACCGCAGGGACGGATGCACGAACAGACGCACGCACGCATGCACGGACGGGCGGCGGATGAACGCATGGATGGTCACACAGACAGACGCATGGACGGACGGAAGCAAGAACGAATGGACGGGCGGATGCTTCACCCCACTCTCCATCATTCACTCTGGGGATATGCTGCCATTTTTTTTTCATTGTGTGGGTTACTAACGTACACCGTCTACGTTTGCAAGCACTTTTTTTAGATGTCACCAATGAAGCGCTAAGAGTACGTTTTGAGCAGATATGTACCGCATTACACTTGTTTTGACTTTTCCTTAGCTTCCCATTTTTATCTAGCACTCGTCTCTTTCCCTCTCTCTGCCTCTATATAACATTCCTAGGTATTCGTCACGTAAGGTGTCACTGTTCATGTGAATACAACAAAGTACATGAGGCCGCCGTTCTCAGCTTAGCGCCTAGGAATGTTATCCTACCGAAAATAATGAAAAAAGTACGCAGCTTCCGCTGGATCACGTAAGGCCAAAGCACAGCGAAGCTGGTTGATCTCGCGATTCCTAGAGGATACAGCCATAAAGCTTAGCTGCATCAAGTTTATAGTGATAGTTATACCATGGTTGAACTTCACTGTTCGAGGTACTGTGTACTTGTCGTTGTCTCCCGCATAGCAGCGAGTCTCGCTTCGCGAAGCGCGGCTTCCTTCTCGGGTGTACGTGCCTTCTTACGGCGACTTATGGCAGCAACTGTCTCTGCATGGTGCGATATTATTTTTCTTAACTCTGGCACGGTTCATGCGCAGTTGTTGCCCGGTACGCACCAACCGGGGTGACGTCACGTCACCCCGGTTGGTGCGTAGCGATTTTCGACTTGGCGCGAGGTGCCCCCACGCGGTCAGCGCGCCGCTCCTACTCCGGCGCACACGCGGCTTTACATGACGTCACATCAGCTATACGAAGTAAGTGGTTGCTAGGCAACGGCGCATAGAGAATTTTTCAAAATAGTGTCGCACACATTACGGCCAGCTTCAACAGCTTCGCTATTAAAAATTCACCCATTACTCAGCCGGTCCAATGCATCAGGTACGAGTCTTGATCCGAGGACAGCTATATTTATACTGCTGGGTTATTCAGCTAAGCTCGATGAGTCTTGTTCAGTTTTTGGTCACTGCAGCCCACTTCTGGCAGGCTTCAAATGCAGTATCCCCCGTACGCTTAGACTTGGGTTCGCATTAAAGGATCCCTGCAACACTTTTTGAGTATGGTCAAAAAACACTGCCGATCAGTTGTAGAGGCTCCCGACAACATGCGAGCCAAATATTAGGGCACAGCACGCGGCCTGGAATTCACAATAAATTTTCAAAGTGAGCTAAAAGTTGCTTTCTCCTCACGACAAATCGCGTTATGTGCCCTAAAATCGCACGTCAACGACCCATCTATCAGCCATTGGATGATTTGAACATGGCGCGCTCGTTCGTTGCAGAGATCGCCGCGGGAGGCCGCTACTTGGGCACGCGTGCGCGCGCGATCACACTAAAGAAGCTGCGCATTCGAAAAAAAAATGCTCAAGGTCGCGAGGCGTGCGTGACGTTGTTCTGCTGGGGCCCTGCCCCTGCCATCCACCACTCCACCCCCCCCCCCACCCCCCTCTCAGCTTCCAGCGCTTTCGTCGGGACGAGAGAATGCAATTGCAGCATGCGACAAACCTTTGTAGGTCCACTCGCACTGGACAGATTCTTGAAATTTTTGCGGCGTTGAATTTCTGTGGCAATAAGCTCTTCCAGTGAATTCATTTCATGGGTACTTGAAACAGAGTTTCAGGGCGCCTTTAAGAGATAGCGTTGCGAACAGCCTGGTAACCAGCAGGAACTGAATAAAGTTATTCACTCACTCAGTCACTTGCGGACAAACTTAATCTGGGGTCCACCACTGCGGCGTGTTGTTATACGACAATGGCTTATACCCAATACATGGGACTGGCCCAATAGGAGGTGGATTTCACCTCGTTCTACAGGCATATGTTACTAGATGCTGTAGTTAAATAACTTGCTGATTTGGATCTTTACAGTCATTATAGTTTTGAACAACATTCTTTCATCATCAATGATAAATTCTTATCACGTCGTCGTTTTGGCACGTGAGACGCGGGAATTTCATTTTCTTTTAAGTTGAGCGCATGACCGCCTCGCTGGATTAACACCAGCCCGCGTGCAGCGAGGTCGCGTACCATATCACGAGCTGCCATTCGATTGCTTCAGGCTGTTCTCTGTCGGCTCAGGCTTCTCCCAGTCTTACCGGCCACTTTCCTTCCTGTTGCTCCTGACACCCTTCTTCCGAGGTGAGACCGACAGCCAGATCTCGTCTTCAGGTGAACGGGGTTGCTACAGTGTGCCACAGTAACGCGGGAACTGCTATACGTTACAACCTAAAAAAAAATGCCAGCTTCGCCTGCAATTGCGCTTCATCCCTCCCACAGAGAACTTGCATAGATTCTCCATCCAAAACCGCTAGATCATTTTCGTGACGTCAAGCGTGTTGGGTCAGGTTTGAGCTGGTTGCGACACCGGGGAAGAAGAAAGAACGATGGGCCGCAGCACGTCGACCGACACTGACGGCGGTGTCACCAAAGACTTGGGCGTGGGGCACCGAGAGAAGAACGTCCGTCTTAACGCAGAGTTGGTGATGTGCTGTTGTTCAAGGCGGACGTTCTTCTTTCGGCACTCCGCACCCAAGTCGTTGGTGGCACCGCCGGCCGCATCGGCGTGCTGCGGCCCATCGTTCTTTCTTCGTCGTCGTCGCCGCCAGTTCGGCCCCGAAACACGAACTCTTCTCGAAGGTTTGGGGAAGTTGGCTTTCCCACAACGAATCGCGTTTTTGTCGCTAGTTTTGTGTCTGAAACTTGCATGTCCTGGTAAATTCTGACAGGAACCTTGACATCATTTCTCGGCGAAACTTGTATAACCGGTGAATCCATATCTGTTAAAGGTGCCCTGCAACATTTTTGCGTGTTACCATCAAATGGGTTCACTATAAAAGTTGTTTCACGAATTGACTCTGCCGCAAAGATTTTTAGAAATTAGGTATGAGAGGAGTATCACGCTGTTCTCTCTTGTGTGCTCTCTTATCTCGTTCCAAAAAACGCGCTTCATGGAAGCTAAGCGGGGAGGGATGGCATGGTGGAGAAGTAGTCACGCGGGCGTTATGACCTTGAGCGCCTTTGTTTGTTTGTTTTCTGCGGGCGGCTGACCATAGAGAAACATACATGAAGAGTGGACACTCCCGTAGGACCCTGCGACTAAGCTACTGCGCTGCTTTCAGCCCCACGGGGGGGGGGGGGGGGGGGGGGGGCTGGTCAGACCCGATATTGTCTTCAGCATAAATAAAATAACAATTTTTTTTCTTTCCGAGGCTGGGATTTGAATTCGTGCCCTCATGCTCCGAAAGCGAGTGCCTTCACCACTAGGCTACCCACCCATGCTTCTACAAATTCATTTATTTACAAAGTGAATACATGTACAATATACATCTGAACCACATGAAGGTGTACCTTTTGTGCAAAACAAATCCATAAAGGCAACACTTTTTAGTCATAATTTACTAATTTTTGTTGTAAATCAAAGAACTTCCTCAACGGAACACGATGTAGAGCGGGTATATAAAAGCGCACAAATCAATAAACATTTTTATTCACAAAAAATTGATGTCAAACTTTGGTTTTTATTGTCCTCCTGAGGCTGCTATTACATGTCTTGACAAAGGAGTAAAAGCGAGCGTAAGTACGTCATCTAGCGGTTGGTGCTACACTTTCTTGCTCGGCCACGAAAAGACTCGAGTGGCCACTCTTTGTGTAGTATATTTTTCTATGGGCTAACAGTCAGCGAGATCACGAGCGTGCGAGCGCGCACGTGTGGCGGCCTCCCGCGACAGGCGCAATAACTATGCAGCCCACGATGCTCGAGTCAGCCAGTTATATACCATGCGGCAGAGGCCAACGAGCGAAAGCACATTGTAAATGGTCCAATAAAGTTTTCAATCAATCGAGTCGGCCAATGGCCGTCAATTAGGGAATGTGGCATCACGTGTAGAAAGAGGAAACAATTTCTAGCTGACTGGGAAATTGAGCTGTGAATTTCAGACCGCGTGCTCCGCTATTATGTGTGTCTCGCGTGTTCTTTGGAGCCTCGAGTACTGACCGGCAGCATTTTTTGTCTATGCTGAAAAAAAAACTGTTCCAAGGCCCCTTTATCTTTAGCCTTGAGAGCTTAAGACCAGTAAAACCACCCATCACATTTATTATTCCACAGCCTGCTTTTATGGAATCACGTGCTGGCAAAGCTTGCATGGTCTGTGACAACGTTGTTCGCTCTTTTTGGAAGAAGTTATTCAGATGTGATTGTTAAACACTTTTCATTCAGTAAGTTATTGTTTGCGTGACATATCACTATGTACCAGCATCTAATCAAGTCCCCTGATTAACATCCTTTAGTGTTTACATCAGGACACATTATGATTTGACGAATCGCAGTGAAGTCACGCTAGCTTAGCGGTGGCCTTGTAGAGTTGCGCAGTCCTTTAAGATATCCTGGGTTAAAACGTGCTACACAATATGTGGGTTCGGGTAAGAACCAGTAGTGCAGCTCGAGCACTATCGGATGTTGCTTCATGTCGAATGCGGATGTGGTTTACGTCTCAACATATCTTATAGTGTCACATCGTGACACTCACGTGCTTTGGCACAGTAGACGAGCGGAATCCCGTGCTGCTAGCAAATGTCTGCAGGTAATTTGCGAACTTCGATAATTCCTTCAGCTCCGCAATTATTTGCCGTTAGAGCAACATTGGTATTCGAGCCAAACACGAGCTCTCAGTACTGGTCCCCTTGATTTTAGGTGACGCGGTTGTTTCTTCAGCAGCATGGTTTCTAGTGTTATCATTGACAGCAGATAATGCATTGATTAGTAAGTTGTACATTGTGTCGAATCACCGACGAGGACGAGCACGCGATCGGACCTGAAGAACAATGAAATGGCTCACATATATAAAAATTAACCTCGGGAGCTGAATGAGAAGTTTTATGGTGATATCAAATAACTACTTCGAGAGTCTCGGCGTCTCTTCTCTTTTTTCGTCGTCGCCGTGTTCCGTGTAAATCGAAATCGCTAAGATCACCCCACGCATCTAATTTTCTACGCGATAGTAGAAGCGCTCGCGACTGCACTCTAATGACAAAAGTTCATGGTTTTTCGAGCAGCAACGGCGAACTTTGATGGTAAGGCCTCAGTTGTCGCGAGCGCTGTCTCGACCGACGTCAGTAGACCACTCGTATGCAAGCTGGGTTCTCGCCGCTTATTTAGCGTCGAGACGACAGACATCACGAAAAAGGCTGTGAGGCCTTGAGCGGCTCTACTCGCTTAGCAAGTGTTTTCCGTTTCGTAAGATCGGAGTCAAGAGTTACCTGCTAGCCTTACTTTGTATAGCATTAAAATTTGTTGCTGTCGCATTCACTGTAGCCTTGTGGAGAAAGCGATCCATCGTTATGCTACTGGTTTTATGCTCATCTGATTACGCAATCAGTTTCACTGCACTCCACCCACAGTCGTTGATACCTAAGCCGATACAGGACAGCCGCAACACCACACCATACTTTCTTCTCACATCTGAGTGTTCTATAAAGTTGCACTCTAAGAAATCGCATGATGCTGTCCTAACGGTCAAGCAAGCCATGCAGTGGGAGGCAGCCTTGGGATACTGGAACAAAACTAGGCGTGCTATTCTTATACCACACCCATTTGCCGTTGTTTACCTTACCAGAGTAATTCGGTAAAAGAAGTATCATACCCATGGTGATGTATCTAATTTGTTTTGTTTTCTTTAGCCACCATGGAAGCGCAGAGTTGTCCTCGGCTGACTTATTACTACCGGCTGCTAAGCCGCACCGTGCTGGCCTACCAAGACCCGGCGACTGGCCTGATACCATCGCAGAAGTACGAACACCACGCCTGGGTGCGTGACAACGTGTACGCCGTCTTGTCAATCTGGGCCCTCGCGCTCGCCTACCGCAAGAGGACCGAGCTTGACGAGGATCGCGCCCGCACATACGAACTGGAGCAGTGCTGCGTCAAGTTGATGCGAAGTCTGCTCGGGGCCATGATGGAGCAGAAAGATAAGCTAGAAAAGTTTAAGGAGACGCACAGCCCCACGGACTGCTTGCACGCCAAGTACAGCTCGGTCACCAAGGAAACCTGCAGTAGCGACGAGGAGTGGGGACACCTGCAGATTGACGCGACGTCCCTCTTTCTTCTCATTATGGCCCAGATGACAGCCTCCGGCTTGCAGATAGTGTTTGATCTCGATGAAGTCGCCTTCGTGCAGAACCTCGTGTTCTATCTCGAGGGCGCCTACTGTATTCCCGACTACGGAATCTGGGAGCGCGGCGATAAGACCAACCGAGGCATACGAGAGCTAAACTCTAGTTCCGTTGGCATGGCCAAGGCTGCCATGGAGGCCATGAGCGAGTTGAACCTGTTCGGGAGCTATGGTGGTCCGTCGTCCGTCATCCACGTCCTCTCGGACGAGGCGCAAGAGTGCGACGCTGTGCTCAGCTCCATGCTTCCACGGGAGTCCAGCTCGAAGGAGGTGGACGCGGCCCTCATCTCGATCATCGGCTTCCCTGGTTTCGCCGTGACCGACCAAGAACTGATCGACCTCACCCGTCACGCCATCGTCGACAAGTTGCAAGGACTATACGGATGCAAGCGCTTTCTGCGCGACGGATACAAGACAGCCCGCGAAGACAAGACGAGGCAGTACTACGAGGGCTGGGAACTGCAGGGGTTCCACAATATCGAGTGCGAGTGGCCACTGTTTTTCTGCTACCTTGTCATCGAGGCCTGCTTTCGCGGTGACCGCACCACCATGGACGAGTACAGTGACATGTTGGAGAGAGTCATCATAAAGACTGCCGACGGGATACGGCTCGTGCCAGAGATGTATGCCGTGCAGGCCGACAGAGTCAACAAGGAGTACGAGATGCCGGACACGCAACCCCGCATGCCCATCGGCCAGATTCCGTTCGTATGGGCTCAGTCTCTGTACATCGTGGGTCGTCTCATGCGCGAAGAACTCATCACGCCAGGAGAGATGGATCCGCTGAACCGCCGGCTAGGCATGCTACAGCAGCCAGACGTCGTCGTACAGGTGCGTGTATGCGTGTAGTGCGGCCTACATCGAAATTCGTCGTTTTTTTTACATCGCTTATCATACAACTGCATTTGTAGTTCTCGGGGTCTTGACAGGAACACTTAGTCGTGTGAATAGCGCGTTCGTATGTATTTATAATTTTCAAAGGTGATTCATTAGTGTCTCATTATGACTTACTTTAGTGGCTGATAAAACTCTGAATGATAAAACTAAGTTGACGGGAATCAATTGAGCTTTATAAGCGTAGGGGTACAATAATAAGTGTGGCTGCATGAAGCTATTAACTACTGGGCCCGCAAATGCTTTGCTGTTTTTTGCAAACTGCCTTTATATAACTGATTGCACTTGCTGCGTTCTTGTTCCAAAACTCGGCATGCTTTTTTGGGGGGGGGGGGGGGGGGTCTTGGCTCCTTCATTTTTGGCTCGCAGATACCTGCACTTCAGTACCACATATTTTTTAGGCATTTCTTTAACAAACTTTGAGTTAGAGGCATTGTTGCGATGCGCGAATTCTTTTACTGCCTGCGCAAAACCACTGCAGTTTGAAAAGCCCTCTTTAAAGGGAAGCTGAAGCACTTTTCTAAAAAAAATGACTTAGGACCGTGTAAGGACAGATTGATCCCTGCTTAATTAGAAAAGCGATGTGAGAGTTCTCAAAAGTGAACGCCAATAGCACGTTTTGGTGAAAAAATAGTGGCTGTGGCCGCAGGGCTTCTTGAAACTCGAAGCGAACACGGTGACGTCCTTATCGGTATGACGCGTCACCTGCAACAGCAGCACTGCTAAATTATGTTCTCTTCAATTAAATTCGGGAACGGCACGTCATGGGCTAGTCACGGAGGCCATGGTTGAAGATAGGAAAAAACACTTTGAGTTAGAGAAAACGAAGATGACGTATGTTTCCACGCCCACACTTTCAGGGCGCTCGCGGGGGCGGAGCAAGACAAGCTTTTATTTCGCCTGTTCTAAAGCTCCTGCTGCTACAACTGCGAAAAGAATTATGACATCGTCAACAATAATGTCGGTCCTTCTTAAACACGAGGTTTGATTCAAATCTAAAATCCCTTCAGCTTCCCTTTGAATACTTGCATTTGAATTACTGTGGCTTCATTGGCTTGACACGCCTTTTCAACATTCTCCAGTGTAGGATCGTTGAACTTGATGATGCCTGCATGAGCTTTTTAGTGGCATATATGTCACAGACAATGTGGTCGTGGATCATCCTTTTTCACTTATTTACGGATACAGTCACGCGTTTTCAGTTTCAAATCAGTGACGAAGCTGTCGAACTGCTCTTAGCCCCGTTACGTTCGAGTTCTGAAGACTTGTAGCAAGGGCAGTTCATTGTGATTTGGTAAGAAACGCGCTACGAAAAGTTTGACATGAGCATAATTAAATTCAGATTTTATCTGTCCGCAGTTGATTTCATAAAGTCCATAGCGCTACTTGCCACACAAATGACTGTTTTCATTTCCTTGAGGTGCAGTGTGAAGCTCTGCTTAAAGGCTTGTCATTGTCCTGCAGCATTGCGCTGGAGTGTAATTTCGCTTGTGTAGATATCTTCTCCCCGTCTGATGAGCTGATGTTAGAGCTGGTTAACTTCTGTCAGCATGTTCATATATAGGAGGAGGGGGAAGAGGAAATCAACAGTGAAAGAAGTGGATAATTCTGAAGGAGCCTGCAGCTGGCGTGAGACACTGCAAACAATGGTTGTACCATGTCTCGAGTCTTGAACCTTCTTTTAACGATTAGCGCAACTTTTTTTTCCAACAGCAGCCTCATCATGTACAGCTTTGATAAACATTTGCCGTTTAAGCAATATATATATAGTTCGAATTTTACACTAGACATCATATAACTAGCGTAATTCTTTTTTGCTTCCATCATGCTTACCCGTGGTAGTGGCATGGCATGCTTATAACGATTCTGTTCGGCCGACGGCTGCTCGCGGTATCCGCGGTGCCACATGGTTAGCATTTTTCTGTAATATTCGAAGTCTGCCGTTGGTGCTGCTGGCCTAAGCATGTTATACTTCGTTTTGCCATATAAACACCAGGGAAAGAAAATAAAAGGTCTGTTAACACCCACAGGTCGTTCTTCTGGCCGAGACCTCTGCCTTGCGCGATTGTTTCACCGAGGTGTATCCTGACATACAAAAATTGACCGAAGTACAACCGATCGAAGTGCTACCGGGGCGGGTGCTCGGGCAACTGTACTCGCATCTCGGTAAAAACCGAAAGATGGGTCTATCTGGCCGCTTTAGCACCGACGTTGGCCTTCTAGCCACCAGCAAGATCTACACGCTTCAAGACCATCTATTTGTATTCACACCGCAAAACCTAGACAGTGGGGTGTTTCACCTCGTCAACGACGTTGACCTGTTCGTCAGCACACTGCGTTCGGACCTGGCCGTGCTGCGTACCCAGTGGCACATTCAGGGACGGCCCACAATGGTAGTGATACTGAAACAACGGCACCTCGTGCATAACAAGCCGCCACCATCACTGCGTAACGCCATTAAGAAACTCGCCTCCGGTTACATCAACGGGACGCGCGTTTGCTTGGGTACCTTGGACGACTTCTTGAACACATCGTGCATGGCCAGTCTGGATTTCCTGTGCAACTACGAAGACGGAGACGCCGACAAACTAGATGCCTCCGTCCAGGATTACCTGGACAAGACGATTACCAACGCCGCCCTTCTCCGCTCAGGGGTGATGCCGAAGCAGGTTCTCTCTGGTGTGTCGAGTGCTGGCACACGCCGGAAGATCGCCGTTGCCGGCATTATCAAGCGCAGTCGTTCAATACCGGTTCAGGAAAGCGTGATAGCCGATGGCGCGCAAGCAGTCGGAATGTTCTCGTCCAGACACGCCTCAGAGACGTCCACGCCCTTGATGTCCCGCCGCAGTTCTGTAGACGAAGAGCACCGCCTGTCGATCCCAATCCAGGCACCACTTGTCGACGCCGCTGCCGAGCTCCCGCTTGATAAAGTGGCCGAAGAGGAGCTGGTGAGCACACTGCGCGAGACCGAATCCCTCGAGGAACAGGGTGACATCCTTCACTACCTGGCCCTGCGAAAGGGCCTCAACTGGGACACCGGCCTGGGCAAGCCGCACACCGTGATCACGGTGCGCGCGCTGTTCGAGGAGTTTTATGAGCGCGCCTGCGAGGAACACCAGTGGGGGCTCGTGCGACACTTCGCCAGTTCTCTCGGCAAGCGGGTCGAGGACCTGGCTAAGAGCGTCACGGACCTGCTGGTGCGACAGAAGCAGGTGACCGTCGGCATGCCGCCGAACAACGAGGAGGTCATCACGCGACCGCTGTCCACCAAGGACTTGCGTGCCATCATCATGCGGGTGCACAAGGGCGACCAGAGCACGGCCATGCTGACCCAGGAGATCCTCGCGTACTTGGCCCTATTTATACGCACCAACCCGGGTCTCTTCCGCGAGATGCAGCGTCTCCGCATAGGGCCCATCATTCAGGTTAGTGGCATCGTGCGGTCTCGCAGATGCGATAAACTTGTGGCTTTTAGTGATTTGGCAGCGAGTGATGAGCAGAACCCAAGGCATGAAATTACAAATGTGCGTGGGCATTGTCGAACTCAGTTGCAAGCGTATGACATATGCAAATTGGGCTATACATTAAATTAGTACAGTACATTGGGCAAGTGATTCATAGCAAACACGGACACAAAAAACGCAAACAGGGATAAACGGAGAAACGGACAACATGATCTCTCGCGTCGTTCGTTTCTTCGTGCATGCACCAAGAGAATTTAACCAGAACTTATATTTACGAATTCAAGTTTGACATAACCATGCTTAACAGCCTAAGTATACAGATTTGATATATGTGCAAAGAACGTACGTGCAGTCGCCACAGTGGCTCAGTGGTTTAGGTGCTTGACCGGCGACCCGAAAGGCACGTGCTCGATTCTTGCCGCGGCGGTCGCATTTCAATGGAGGCGAACAGAGGAACAGCCATAACTTTTTTTTTTTCTTGGGGGGAGAGAGGGGGAGCGGGAGAGATGCTGAAGCTGACTTTTTTACGTTCGTGATTTTTTCTGAGTGGTGGGAGGCGGTTGAACACCGCTCCCCGCACCCTGACCTTTATATATAGCTACACAAGTTGATGCGAAATGCTAGAGACTTGCGTACTGTGCAACCGATGTCGATCCGATGATGGTAAAAATTATCCTGGCCGCGGCGGTAGTTTTTGTTGAACAACATAAACCAAACAACCAACCAGTGGCGCAGCTATGGGTCGTACACCTGGCATGCACACCATCGTCACTGTCCTTTAGTGGCACGTATACCATGGGCCGTGACGGATTTACCCAGGAACGGCTGGAACAAACAGTGGTAATATAAGTTTGAGAGCGTTAAGAAAAGCCAACATATACAACGTTGACACGACGAATGCAAAGAATGAATATAAGAGTCCCAGCAGGAATCAAACACAAGCGTTCTGCGGGGAAGTCAGGTATTCTACCGCAGAGCCACGCCAGGCATCGGAACTGCTTTGGAAAAAGACGCTATGCAGGCTTTATGCTGGTGAAACCTTAAATGGGGTTGTAGTATCGGCTATCTAATTTTAAATCGTGAACAGTACCCACGAACTCAAATGATCCAGACTTCACATCGGCTTAATGTCGATTGTAGTTTAAGCGTCATGAAATGAAGTTTGTGTACGTAGCACTATCCAGCCCTACCATCGCAAACACAAGCACCATGGTCAGCTTACCGCTTCTTGCGTTAGTAATGCTCATGTTGCTGTTGCCATCATGGCACAAATTCGTCGATCAATTAAAAAAAATTACACCACGGTCACTTTCCCTCCGCACGGTTTCGCGTAACATCGATTCCCATGGTTAGTGGGTTCTGTCGAATATTTTTTTTAACAGTTCAACGTGAAAGCTGTACATGGACGTGTATATCGGCATGCAGAACACCGCAAGTATTGAATGAAATGCTTTGACGTTGTAGAAAACAATCGTCCTGTCGCAAACAAAGACTATTCCGCCTAGCAGACACGTTTGTATGCGTTGCAACGTGCAGGTGATGGCATGGGAGCTTGGTCGCAACTCCAGGCTCGGCGCTTCGGAAGCTGTGGACGCGCTGCTGAATTTGAGCCCGTTCGACATGCAGTCGCTACTGATGAACATCATAAACGGCACGGAGATGGATACGTCTCGCGTACTCTCGTCGCTCCCGGGCTTCACACCCGGCACTTTCCCCATTAGGGGCAGTGAGGCTGAGAAGCTCTTGCATTTGGAAACAGAAGAGGCTATGTCTCTCACCGTGGCGCCACAGGTAAGACGATGTTACAGCTGCTGCCTCCTCAAACGGAAAATACAGAGAAAATTAACAAGTTTAGAATATTTCTGTGGGCCTGTGTGCTCAGACTTGGGTGCACGCTAAAGAACACCAGGTGGTCGAAATTTTCGGAGTCTTCCACGTTAAGCCCCACATATCTATCACAAGTATAGCCATGTAATTAAACGCGAAGCTGGTCCATCTTGTAGGTGGCCTTAACGTGGCCTTCTTGGCTGGTGCTGCGTCTTTTCTTGGCGCAGTTTAGAGTCGAGCCAGAGAACACATATGCTCGAGCCACATCGTGTAAAAAGAAACGGTGAAAGGGCATAACGAAAACTTTTCCTAATATCTGGGCCCGTCTTATGCAGGTGACACAAGGTCTGTGGATGCGTCGCCGTCGACTGGACGGCACACTGAACCGAGTGCCCGTGGGTTTCTACGGCCAAGTGTGGGGCATCCTGGAGCGCTGCCCGGGTGTGTGGGTGCGCGGATACTGCCTGCCCGTAGCCCTCACGAAAGAGATGACGGCGGGCGAGATCAAGTTCGCGCTACGCGTCGAAGAGATGCTGAACAAGGTGAGTGGCTCGTTCTTCCTCTGTCTCCTCTGCTCGCTGCCTCGGCTCGGTTTTTTTTATTGTAAATTTCACATCCATGTAACAAAAAACTTCTCAAACACTTGTTTGGTCCCATAGCCTAACGGGCTAGTAGAGGGACCTATTGTGTGACATACCTACATACTTGCGCAAGCGGTTACACAGCGACAAAGGACATCAAGCTAGATACAATGTTTAAAAATAGAAAAACTAAACAAAAAGAACACATGATTGAATTATACAAAGAAACACAGTGCAGAACATAGCTACTTACAGCACAGAATAATATTAGCACTAGAATAATAATAATCATAATAATATTGATAACACTAACTGACTAAACAGTCGTATTACATAGAAAGTTCGCATGAAGTGCATGCTTCATGGCCACTGAAAAAATTTCTGGCCTCTTTCACATCAGTAGGTATCGCATTCCATATGAGAGCGCCGTGAAATTCGTTCCGACGACGAAGCCTGGTTTCTTTCAGTTTGTTCCACTCGATTTCCATCTGCCGACCATTCCCACCGAGCAATGCCGGCTCTTTTTGCGTTATCTAAGTTTGAACAGCGCGACTGAACGCAGACGCGGACACAGATTCACAAAACGCTGACTTTAAACTGGAAACTCGGTTGTGATGCGGTTTCACTGGCTCCTCCACTGACGTCATGCCAAATGACGCGGCCATGGGTGCGGCCACCGGCCACAGCAAAACAGCGAGAATGTGGCCAATGAATACCTCTCTTTACAAAAGCGCAGTATTTCGCCGCGTATGAGAGCTTGGGCACATCCATTCAATTCAAGAACACTGAAGTATTAGCGCACAAGGGCTGCAAAAGATTACAAAATTTTTCGTTAAGTACTAAATACGCAGAAATTCACGTTCAAATTCACAGTATTCGAGCTGCATATAAGAGGGAGTAAAACTTCACATCCACGGCCGATGTTTTCTTAGCCTCTGATAATAGGTTTCAGCATAGCTATTTTAAGTTCAGCGAGCTTTCACTATAACAAACTTTTAACTGGGGTCCCTTGAAGCTCGTTCAAGTGAAGTTACAGCCATCACAATGAGCAGATTGAGGTGCAAAAGAAATAAGTTGGAGTCATTCCACTATGAAGGTCGCCGACGGGCGTACTCCTCTCGGCCATTGTTGCCGTTTACTAACTGGTCGTGCAACATGCTTTGAACGTGGTCGAAAAATACTACCGTTACTACCCTAACGTGTGAGCCAAACATCCCAGCCCAGCACGCGGAAAAGTCATGCAGCTATAAATCGTTCGCCCATCTTTCGATACTTGACATCATACGGAAGCGACCCTGAAACATGGTCAGTTCCATATTTCAGGACGCATTATAAACACCAATCGTTGGTATATACTCTGCCATTTACATTAAATAGATATGAAGAAATTCATATGCTTAATAAAAAAAGACTTGTGTATATATTTAGTTCGCATGTAATGTCACATACCGTGACATGCTGTGCAATTGAATCGTAAATTATGTCGTTTTTTAACGTAGTTATTATGATTACACGAATTTTTTGTGGCGTTCTGCGTTATTTGTTCAATGTTTAATTTGTGTTCTAAGCTAGTAATGCAATAGTAATACAGTGGCATTCTTTTGTACTGTCATCATTTATGTTTATTGCTTATTGCTATATAATATTTTATTGTACGTAACATTTTTCCCCTTTTTATGCGCGTGTATTTATTTTATATCACTTCCTTTTTTTTCTTGTGCAGTTGTCGTCCCTATGTTTAAGTGATTATGATATTCAATTTAAATTCTTTTACGCCCCGCCACGGTAGTATAGTGGCTAAGGTACTCGGCTGCTGACCCGCAGGTCGCGGGATCAAATCCCGGCTGTGGCTGCTGCATTTCCGATGGAGGCGGAAATGTTGTAAACCCGTGTGCTGAAGATTTGGGTGCACGTTAAAGAACCCCAGGTGGTTGAAATTTCCGGAGCCCTCCGCTACGGCGTCTCTCATAATAATATGGTGGTTTTGGGACGTTAAACCCCACAAATCAAATCAATCGATAATTTTTTTTACTTGTTGGTTTGCTCGCCAATGCATGGAACTGTTTGTCGTTACTGCCCTGTATAATTTAGTATATAGTCTGGTCGTTTGGTCTCATCAAGTTACTTATGTAGCTTTTAACCCAACGGAACCATCCAGCATGTATAAACTGGAAAAATAAAATTGAAATTGAATATGATCAACTGCGTCGAGTACCCAAAAGCACACGGGAATGACCATTGGCTGATTAAAAGCTCAAGGTCATGACGCGCACTGACGCATGGACATGGCTTCTTGTACCCTCTTCGGCGTGGCTTCCGGCGTGCAGTTTAGGCGAAATGAGAAGGAAAATTAACCACTCGAAGCACGCGACAAATTTCTGCGCCTCCGTGTCATTCGTGTCTTGAAGCAACCTCTATGGCGGTTTTTAAACCGGGGCACCAGCGAATACACAAACTTTCAGCCAGCGGCCTTGGAAGTACGCAAGAAGGCGTTACACATGAAAGAACACTGGACTTTCAACTGTGCTTTATAATTGAAATCACGTTGCATCACAAAAGCTCTCACGGATGAATGCGCATCGTCACTTCCCGCTACATTTTCCCTTCACACTTAATTTTTTTCTGCTAAGTGGGCCCACTCTTTTCACGTCACACAACAAGGACGTATCGCTGACACAATTTACTTGACGATTCCTTGGAAGTGTATTGTAGAGCCTTGCGTCCCCAGGAATACCCATAATTCGTGGTCGGCCCACACTTTATTTTGTGGAGCTTTAGTGAACGTTGTGGGTCTGCTGTGGCGTCGACTTTTGTACCATTCCTATCAACGCCGACGGTCCGTTTCCACATCCAAACATAAACGAAGAATTGTCGTCTGACCACAGAATCTATAACTAGGGAAGAGTTGAAGGGTTTCTAACGTACCCCGAAAGTTTTCCGTGCTTTAACCTCCTGTGTGATACTACAATATTTACACGCCTTCACTCCAATCATTAGCTGCTGAAATTAGCCGTTCTATACACGAACACGACACGAAAAAAAAAATCGAGAAAAAAAAATCGTGACCATGCCCTCGCGCAGGTTCCGGAGCCCGAGTACCGGCAGCTGCTGGTCGAGGCGCTCATGGTGTTCAGCCTGGTCGTGGAAAACGACGTGGTGGGCGACTTCAAGGTGCCCATCGACGTCGAATCCGTGGTGCAACGAGCGCACGGCTTATTCCTCGAGGACCAACTCCACTGCAACGGCGATGCGACGCTTTGTTGCGCGACGGGCTCCAGCGGCCCTCCCGTAGCGCCTTGCCAGACGGCCGTTGGCATCTGTCAGCACTTCTACGACTCGGCTCCCAGCGGGTGCTATGGCACGATGAGCTACCTGCTCCGGGCTGTCGCCCACACGATGCCCGACATCCAGATCACCGCGCTCGACTGCATGCCATCGTAGCACCTCAAGCTCGTCAGACTCGCCGTGTTTTTTTTTTTCTGTATACCAGCTGCGCCTTTGAGCCCGAATTGACGAAGCTCTTCCATCGGCATTGGTCACTACAACTGACCTGCGCTCTTTCAGCAACTTAAAGGGCCTCTGCTTTTGGGGCCGTAGTTCAACACCCGTCACCATAAGCGTGCCGCAGGGTTAACCTTTAGGGGGGGGGGGGGGATCATAGGAAATCGCTGGTCGCAGCAACCCCCCCCCCCCCCATTTATCCATGTATGGGGCCAACTTTGGGTTTTCCTCTTAGGGCACGTTTCGCCTTTTGACCGTTCATACATTTTTTTAGGGAATTCACGAGTCACCACTACAACGATCGGAAAATGCTTTTGTTTCCCCTCCTGAATTATTTTGCCCCGGTGCCAGATAATCGCAGTTTCCCACACCCAAAAAATTTGTACAAGGTTGACTAGACCCACTGCATGTCGGTATCTCCTATATAACCCCGGCTTATGATAATTCGTACCCTGTAGATACTCAATTAGGTGACAGTTTGGTGAGCCGCGTTGGCCACCGCCCCGACGCCGTCGCGAAATATGGTGTGGTTCCTGATAGCGGCGGCGCCACGACACCATTCGACAAGAGCATCGTCACCGGAGCCCGCTGTGGTACCTTGGCGACTAGGGCGCCGCGCCGCGGGGATGGTGGACACCGAAGCGCGCTCAGGTCACGACGCGGAGTCTGAAGGAGCTGAGTGGGGAAGCCGTCCTGGTGGTCCGCTGCATCGTCACGTTTGCGTCTCTTTGCGTTAGGTGTCTTGGCAAGTGTAGGGGCGTCTTCCGGGCAGATGCATTGCTTTTCCATCGGTTCGGACCTTGTTGCGTTCATTGTCTCCTTTGCCAGTGGCATTGTATGGTTGGTTGTTCCGTATCTCTTTAGTTTGCTACATTAATTGTCGGTGTGGCAAGGCCTATAGTCAGGCAGACAATGTTATGCCTTGTGCCTTGCCATCCAAGACTCGCTTTGTGTCTGAAATAAATCACTTGTTATTATTATTATTATTATTGTTATTAACGCAAACTAATTCCCCCATCATTTTAAAGGTGGTCTATTACAAGAACACCCTCAGAGCGTCAGAATAAACGTCATTATTGTCTAGGCCTGTGCACGGGGTGGAGAGCGGGGGGCTAGTAACCTGAAAGGAGGGTGCATGCAATGCCTCTCCAACCCCCCCTGGAAACTTGCGCACGCCTGTGATTATGCTACAGATGCATCAATCACATGCATTGTGACGAAAAGTCAGGTGTTGGAATACATTTACCCTGAATTTGTGTTGGTCTTATTCCTTTAAACTGCTTAATTTCATACCGGTTTCTGTGGCTGAAATTCTGGTAATTGTGCTCGCCTTATGCAAGTTGAACATGGTAATTAAATCTGTTATAACAATGATGGATTCAAAGGGGGGGGGGCGAAAGAGGCGATCGCCCCCACCCCTTAATGTTTGTGTCAGCGCCTCCCCCCTTCACATCTTATTGCAAATTATTACAAATGAGTGGAGCGACCATGAGCACACAAACAGTATTTATTTAATAAGTTTTTTCTCCCAGAAAAAAATTTTAAAATGTCGTGACCACGCCTCCCTCCCATGTGTCACATCAGGCGATCTCCCCCCCTCCCCCCTTAAATCAGTCACTGAATCCGCCCCCTGTGTTATAGCATCTGCGCTGCATCTCCTGATGTTGCCGCCTCCTACATAATAAAAGCATTTCGTGTACAAGCACCCACACATTCGAGAAAACTCCAATTAGTTCGCGTGCCTGCACGTGGAGGGTTGTTCATGAATGAAATGGCCGATTCTTTAGATAAGTCGTCAATAAGTGGGCCGATTTTACCTTGTCTTCCGCCATCCGCTTACATGACGGCTACGTGGCTTTGCAGGCGTAAGTAACATTATGGAAGTCCTTGCAGACACAGCTCTGACTAATTCGGCCGAATATTGGGGCTTATTATATTCCCGGCGGAGATGACGTTGTGGAACCCGTCAAGTCGGAAGTGTTAATGACGAGAATAACACATTTCGAGCTCGTTGGTTGTTCATTCCAAAGCTCCAACGATGCAAAGATGCAGACGCGGGCGCTGAAAGCAGCGCCTGCGTCTGCATCTTTCTTTGCGTCTGACCGTTCACGTAAATACGCGCTTCTTTCGCCTCAGTGGCGAGGCTGTCGGGTGCCGAAACTAATTTTATACCAACGCAGTTCTGGTCAACCACCTCCTCTATTATGCGCATTTTGTGGTGAGCTAGAAACTATCGATCTTTTGTTTTCGACTTGCAGACGATTTACTGTAGCTCGAAAAACCCAGGTAATAACACCTTTACGTGCTATTGTAATTTATCGGCGCCCGTGATTTTTTAAACTTCTATTTCCGAGTTATCCAATGCGAAGGTTTGCCAGATTGTGCAGAATTGTCTCAATGAAACCAATCGGTCAATTAGCTAATCTATATTAATAATTTGCGTTGACACATTTATAAATTTAAAAAATTTGGTTTTGATTTATTTTACATATATACATTTGACCCTGCCCCGAAATTTCATATAGAAATTCTTTTTATTCTATAGCCTCCTTTTTTTCTAAAGTGCCATGACATTTTATAAGAACACACAGTTCTTGGCCTATCCACCACAGTGAGCCACAGTAGGCGGAGAAAAACTGGCCACATTGTTCTGAAGGATATTTCTTTGATGAGGCTTCCTCCGTGGATGAGGCACTAGTGGCGCCCAGCCTGAAACCGGGCATGCTGGGAAAGGTGTTTCCACTCCGCTAATGTCGTCGGTATTCAGCTTATTTTGTTTGTAGCCTGGATACAATGGCACATATCTACCCTGGGGGGATTGGCCAAGAAAACATATAGTAGCCTTCCTAAGGTGTTTCTTCTTCTGTCTCTCACTGCCCATTATCAGCGATTTTGCCATAAGTTGCCTTCGAGTTGCGCACCTAAACATGCTATGAAGTATACTTTATAGGAGAAAACTCGGCCCTTAAATCTATTTTTAAAACGCAATTCAAACAAATTCTCATTATGATTGCAAGCAGACCCCCTAAGGTGTTTCGACCCTCACGGCATTATTACGATGATTGATATAGTCCCAAATATTAGGATGATTGATACGTCCCAAAACCACCACATGATTATGAGAGACGCCGTAGTGGAGGGCTCCGGAAATTTCGACCACCTGGGCTTCTTTAACGTGAGCCCAAATCTGAGCACACGGGCCTACAGCAGTTTCGCCTCCATCAAAAATGCAGCCTCCGCAGCCGGGATTCAATCCCGGCTGCGGCGGCTGCATTTTTACTTTAGCCTCTAGACCACCGCGGCGGCGCAGCATTATTACGGTGTTGATAGCATTTGCTTACAACAAATTACAGGATATGATGAAACCGTTTTTTATGTCAAATAAGACTCCATTATAAAGTTTGTATGCTTGGATTTGAACACACATCAGGGGGACGTGGTGCTGTGCATTTACACAACTCGGCTATGACTTAGACATGTCTAAGTTGCAATGTCAAAGGGCTTATTAAAATACCACAAACGAGTCGCAAAATTATTTTAGAAAAATTAGCTGAGAATGCATAAATTAAACAGAGGGTAAGAACTACATGCAATTTAGTGAATTTACGATAATTGTTCTACTTACATCATTGCATTCAATTTTGTTTCGAAGCACGTGTAGGAAATTTCACTATTTCTATAGAATCCCATTCTTTCCACATAATTTCTTCTCTCTTCTGGTGAGCTTTGTTCCCTCTATGCTCACCCAATTTTTAACATTTGCCTGGTGTGCTTACGCTGATGAAAAGCTTTCTCGTTTCGCCAAAATTCATTATTTTTGTGCCGCTGCCACATGTCGTGCTAGCTATGTGTAAAGAAAGGCTAAATAAATGAGAGGGAAATTGTTCGAGGGCCTGGTTTTAGTTAGACACAACCTTATGAACCAAACAGACAATTTAAGAAAGCAAAGAATGGGAGCATTATTTATATTTCTTAAATGAAGTGTAGTAACAACATAAAATGGACAAAGAAACACCTTTAGCACAATAGGCAAAGCTAATTCCTGAGCATGGTGCAATTTTAGATGAAACTACAGCGCTCTTGAAGCTTGGTGCACTTTATTCAGGCATGTTAATTCATTCCATTACAAAGATCTCAAACAAGTGCAATAAAACTTGTAACAGTTTTCAAGAAATGCCTTCAAAGTAGCTTTCTGAGGGAAGATGCTCAAAAAGTAATCAAAAAATTTCTGTTGATCACTCAATTTATTTTGCACATTTTGTTTCATACATGGGACAACAAATCGTGGCATCACGACTACTTTAAGAGTGAGCAAAAAACCAAGCAGGCACATCTTCAGAAAGATCAGTTGAGGTGCCAACAGTACTTCATCATGCTCACAACTATCCATATTGATGTCCCAAAGTACAAAGAAAGGCTCGTTTCAGAGAGAATAAAACCAAGACTGTGAAATCTAATGAATTAAAGCAACAAAAAACAAAGTTCTTTGGTGGCATTATGGTGTTGTGCACAAAAGATCGACTTACGCGAAGACTCCGTAGGCTTGCAAAAGTACAAAAGTAAACCGGCGCAAAGCGAGTAGTAGTTGCCTCGAGACTCGATGGTAATATCACAACCAGTCGCTCTGTATATTACAGGAGCATCTGTACACGTGGCTTATCAAAACAAACTGGGACATGTGCCACTCAGGTCTTTAACTTGGCAAGCTGTCGTTCTATTTCTTCGTCAGTTGGCAGGCGTGCCTTGGAACTCTCGCCAAGGGGATCGGATCTTGCAGATGGAGCAGCAGCGAGCTGCAGAAATGGGAAACCAGGCAATGCAATATTGTTCTGACTAGTGTGAACATAGTGACACAGCTACTTATGAAGAAATATTGGTAATTTCCTTTTTTCTGGCAGTGATAATGCTTCTATCATTACATTGTTCTGCGATATCTATTCATTTTGTTACAGCACAGCAAAGGGAAGGGAAAGATAAGTCATTCAAACGACCACACACATCGTCTGTGTGCCTTAGCTTTTTTTCTTATCTAAGTGTACCAGTATCAACTGGAACAGTTCACTTTACCCTTACATGGCATGGAGCGACCCACATAAGACACCTTTGCTCAATGCAGCAAACACATGCAATGCAGCTGTTGCAATTCTGTATTGTAACATGATGAATTATGGCTCACCTTTCCAGTCATTTCAATGCCAATTTCATCAAGAACCTTGTTGACAATGGCGTCCTGCTCTTCCTCATCACCAGATTCATCCAGGATAGAGTTGAGTGTGTCCTCAACTGTGCGCAAAAAAAAAATGCGTGCGCCGATTAATGTAAGCTCACAAATAGGTAACTTTCTGTCGGCCGCTCAGTTGCCACATTTCACGGCGAACGGTGAAATGTGGCAACAGTCGCATTCAGTGCACTTTCAACTGTCACTTGAGCAATTCTAACAAACATAATTAATTTCTGTGAAAACTATTTTCATTCGCTCGTCAAGAAAAGGTTGAAATACTAGAGAAACTCAAGGGCAGACTTGTCTTTACTTCTTAGGTGCGAAGCACCTTATGCGCTCAGGCTGTCGGCATCTCCTGCCACCACACATCACGGTGAAACCACTAGCAGCAGATGAGACGGCGTTTCGGTCAAGGGAAATCTGTCTAGAATGCGCGCTCACTCGCAAAAGGTCCCGCTACCTGCGTTTTCCCAAGTGGAAAATAAGACTGCGCGCTGGCTCAGGAAGAGCAACGATTCCACAATGGGCACTGGACGCTGTTTGTAGCAACAAGATGGCGCTGTCCTCATTGCTATTGGCGTGCCCCTATACCTCCCCTGGCTTCACCTTTTATTTGTGCTAGAAGCTCAGCCTCCTTGTGTCGAGCGTTAGGTCTTGTATTTAAAACCATTTGGCCTGCTCTAAAAGAACTTGTAGAGCTTGCATGGTTGGATGTCTGCCTCCTCAGGAATACTGTGTAATATTTTGTCTTTACTGACACTCAATTAATCAAACCTTGTAAAGTACAGTCAGAATTTATGACTATGCAGGTACTGTTGCCATTTGCATTTTATATTTATAGCTCATGATAAAAATAGCCTGACCATTTTGTTGTTGTATAAACAAATGAATTAACACAGCTTTGATCACCTTTCAATGATGGGTCATTTAAAGCAACAATAGAAGGCGTGGGGGAAAGCTTTTGGTGTGCATGCTCACGTTCTCGTGGTCTTTGTCCGTCGCATTCAGAATACCAACACACAAACAGCAATTCGTACTGTTTAAGGAACGATACAGTTGACAACACAATAGGAAACAGGAGCACTTGCCTAGTTCCTCAGTCATTCCCATTTTTGTGCTCTCCTTCTCAAAGTCTTGCATCGTCTTGGCGATGTCCTGAGGTTTGATCTGCTTGTTCACTTCACCCATTGTCTGGAGAAAATGAAAGTTTGTAATAATATGAATATACACCAGAACCTCATAAACTAGCACTGTCGGACGCAAAGCAAGGTCTCTTACCTTTGCAGTAGTGGCCATTGCATTAGCAAGCTTCACGTTCGCATTCATCAGCTGAAAAATACAGAAGCTAAGGTGAGGTGTCAAGAAACAACAGCTCAGAATACTTTCTATAGAAAATTCAAAGTACTTGGTGTGAAATTCTAAAAAAATAAGACATCTTATTTTATGCACTGTGGATGCCCGACATGTTCTGAAAGGTGTTCCAATCAAATGTGAAAATTTTTTTTCTTGTTTGAATCAGAAAAAATGTGCTACTTGAAATTAGCAAGACTGATTTGGAAACTAAAAGGCTCGGTATTTAGTAATAAGAATGGAGTTAAGGAAAGCATAGGGAAACCGATTGGTTAACAATGAAACATTTTAGTTCCCATGGATCCTCTATGCACTGGACTCATGTAGTCAACCATGCCATAGCTTCAGACACTGACCCAAAAATAGTTACGTCATCGTCAGGAGATAACGCATAGGAAACTCGGGAGTTACATTACGCAAGGCCAGCCGATTTGTACACAAGCTATGCAACAATGTTTTGCCTCGGTTGGGTGTCATCAGTTGTGCCTACCTTGGACTGCGAGCCGATGGCTGACACTTTAGACGACGCAGCATAAGTCCTCGCCTTCTGCTTTCGTAGTTGCACAAGCTGCTTCGCTAAAACTGTGCATACCTGTGGTAGAACAAAATGTGAATAGCATTACAGTGGTCCAGCATCACAGAATAGCATTAGCCTATCCCATGACAGGAGTTTGGTCACCGGCCAATGCTACCGACTTCATTACTTTCGGAACGGGCGAAGGCGGGTTGAAAGCTAAACGATCCGAAGTAAAACTGCATCTCATACCTGCTTATTTCCTTGGTTAGCGGCCTTCTTGATTTCAAGTTCCTGGATGAGAAAAAGGAAAGAGCAGTGTTTCAAAACGTCCGGGCTAACGAAGGCTCGCAGTGTTTCTCACCAGCTGTTTCTCCTGCCTCTCCAGCTCACGCCTGTCTCTCTCGATGTCTCTCTGCGTCTTTCGAAGCTCCCTGTTTTGCTGCCGCATTTGTTCTGGGGGAAACAAAAAGAGGGAGGGGCGTCAAATTATACTTCGCGCTTTCAGATTTCTCCGATCGAGGCAAGAACACACAGCAAGCACCGCTGCGGTTTCAAATATCCGGTGATTACTCCGATGACAATACATCGATTGCAGCCGGCTCACCTGCAGGCGATGGTTTTTTTCCGAAAAAACTCATTATTGGCTATGTTTCCGTCAGTTCTTCGAGTGAAGAGCGCATAATAGATACAGCGGTTTCGCAAGCTAGCTTTACACACGACGACTTAACACCTCAATCGCCTCCATTGAGTCATCACACAGTTATGAAGGGGAAACCGCAGTGTAGTAGTTGGTGTGTTGTCTTTTTTTAATAAACTGCCTAATAATAAAAACTAATAACGTAATTCTTGTTATCACAAGTATAAGATATGAAAACAGCTTTACAATTAATTTTAGTTTTTATTTCTGCAACAAAGTTGGTTGTCGACTAGCCCCCCTGTGGCTAACCAGCGAAGTCCATTGCACTGAAAACATGGCGGCCTCCACGAACTCCACGTTGTTGGACGATCTAAGGTATGAACTGTTTCCAAGTCGATGTTTCACCTTCTTTCAACGGGTTGGTGTCGTGAGATCATCCTTTAAAAAGAATTCTAACATTCCAGCAAGAAGCCTGATCCACTGCAGGAGGAGTTCGGCAGCGATGGAGAAGTCCGCCAGGTCTGTCATACGGCACCTTTGACGTTCTGCGACACATTTGTGTCTCTCTTTGCTTCGTTCGCTGTATTCGCGTACCTGAACTCAGTGGTTGAAGTGAACCTTCTAGGCAGTCAGCTTCTACCAAGGCGCCATAAAAGGGTTTATATTCTACAAATGCTTGAATATTAGTTGCTGCTCTAGTTTCGCATGGTAATCGTACCGGCACCAAACCTGCACCTTTCAGCAGTTATCGGAATCCTCTGGCGTGGTGACAGTCATCTTTCAACTTATCAAGCTGTGTATTAAAAATGAAAAGCATCCACTGCGAAGCAGAGCGGTGTACGTGAGACAGGAAAACGGTGTGGGAAGGCATGCAAAAAGTGCGGGAAGGCAGCCACAAGGTCCGTGCTGTCACTCAGGATTACTACTGTTTAGTTTGCCTCATTCTGTGACCCGTTATTGGCAAAAAAAAGAGTTGGCAAAGTTAGAACAGTGGTCACAATGCAGCTGTTAACATAGCAGAAACATACTGGCACACATGCTTTAGCTGGTAATGTTGCATTAGGCCGTCACCTTAGCGATCTGCTCTTTGCCACAGAAACAAGCTCAACAGCATTGGGTTAGAAGTCTGGAGTGCGATTCGAGGTTTTGTCTAATACAAGGGTGTTTTGTGCATTAGTTCTTTTGCTGCACTATACTCTTACACCATGATAAAACGAAAAGACCAGCCTCGCGTATGCGTTTTCTCCTGGTGTAGCAGTATAGCGCAGCAAAAAAACAAGTATGTACCAACTAGCCCCTATTGATGCTTTATTGTGCCTTCGGTTTGATGTATTTTTTTTGTTTCCTCACCATATTGGTTTACTGATGCAGCCACTTCGAAAGGGTCGTGTCGACTCTTTTCGTCATAAGAAGTTGCTGGATGCTATCGGTTCCCTGGGAGGCAAAAAGTAAGTCATTTTTCCCCCAGCCTGTAAACGCATTTAGAAGGCTGGTATCTATGAGACCACTCCGAGACAGCTTCACGATACACTGAATGAATGTTTCTTTCATGGCCACCGTAGTGAAGTAGTCTATATGAAATGACTTAGTATAAAACTTGCTGTTTCTGTTTTGAGGCAAACATATGCCCGGTCCCTTCTTTTCAGCTTGAGCCCAGCAATATAGAAAACCTGTTGGTTAGCAGTGCCGTGCACATGGAGTTTCTTGAAATTAACTAGAGGGGACTCTGGTGCTGCGATCGTTCAGCGACCATGGGAATGATGGGTAGTACACAGATTTGCTTAGTCTTCGTACTTGCGAATGGCAAATCATACTTGTGGCTTTGTTAGTTGCTGTGTTTCAGTTTTGTTTAGAAGGAAAGAACAACCACTTTTGAACTTTGAGGCCCAATTGGAACAGTTAAGCCTAAAAGATTAAAGTGGTGAAGCGTAACTGCCGTACATTTGCCGATTTTCGTTTCTAGACAAAACAGCTCCAAGCCAGACGAACACACATGAAAGCAAAAGTACGATGATTAGACAAATCTGTGTACTACCCATCATTCCCATGCTCGCTGAAGGCACGTGCTGTGCGTTGCAGCTCTCAAAGACACTAGCGCCAGAGTTCTCTCTAGTGTATATTAAGGAAACTCTATGGCCGTGCAAGCTAATGGTCAATGGGCGCTCGACTGCTAACCCGAAGGCTGGGGGTTCGAATCCCAGCTGTGGCAGCTACATTTTCGATGAACACAAAAATGTTTGAGGCCCGTGTACTTGGATTTAGGTACACGTTAAAGATCTCCAGGTGGTCCAATCACGGAGCCCTCCACTACGTTGTCTCTCATAACAGTATCGTGGTTTTGGAACGTTAAACTCCAGAAATTATTATTAAGATCAATGGGTGGTGACAACTTGCTCGTCACCCACCTAGACTCCTATCATGCCACTCATCCTCATAGAAGGCACTGATTGGTTCCATCAGGAGCATGTGTCGGCGAAAAATATGGAGCTCAGTCAGGCTTACTCACAAAATGTATATATTTCGCCCTTCGAGCTTACTTACGCTCAGACTGGCCAACATTTTCCTCGGCCAGACCTACTTAAATATTACTAACGGCTTTGTCTGAGTAAGCCCACTCACGAGTCCTTTGATGTATAATTAGCTTTTTTGGCCATGTTTTCAGTTCTCTTCAGCACCAATATCTTGCATAATCAGTGCTCAACTTGTCACCGTTTGATCTTGTGCTTTTAAATATGAATTATCAGTGGTTTAGGTCGAGTGAGGACATTTTGATATGAACAGGTAACTCATACGAGGTGGAGGTCAAGACACATTCCCCCTTCCTCCCTTCGTAACTCATGCCTCTGATCAGTAAATATTGAGCTGGCGTAAGGATGTTAGTACCCTGAAGTGTGTGTGAGTAGATGTGAGCCCACATAAGGCTGATAGCAATTCTGAACTGGAGTACATAGGACATTAGCAAACAAAGTGGAGCTCACTCAAGAATATTCGCGCCCACTGTTCACTCAGACTCAAGCTCACCAAAGCTTTCCTCGACTGGACTCTCTAGGGCTGTCCCACTAAATCTTTTCTCAAGCGTATTCACTAGGATTCAAAATCACCAAGATGTTAAGTACCCAGACTCAATCTCGTGGCTCAGTCCGAGTCCCATTAAATCAGCTTATGAGTTAGTCCACCGACCTATGGTCTCTAGGAAAGTTTCTTTTTTTTTATTTGCCTTTCTCCATACTGTTATTTGCAAGAAATTTTACCCTGTGACAGTAACAAGTGTCGTTTGTTTCTGTACTGTGTTGTACTGCATCAGCAATTTCATTATACGGGCTTCTGTTGAGGCTGTGAGAATCCCAGCCTAAGCATGTGCATTCCTGTGCTCTGGAAATGTCATGATGCTTGTGTGCTGAGGTGTAGGTACATTGATAAACCTCTTGTAGTTCAAATTAATCTGAAGGCCCACCTGTTCGCTCTGTAAACCCACCTGTATACATGTATTAATTCTTCTGCTCTCACTATATTAATGTAAGATCGAAGTGGCTTTGCCAACATCATGATGCTGTTTTTAATGAAATGTGTACTTTCAGTAAGGTGACAACACGGACTGAGCCAAGCCTCACAGTGTCTGAATATGACCTCTCGAAAGGTAAAAAAAGCCCTTCTGATTTAAAGCTTTCTTTGCTTGCATTTTAGATGAAGCTCTATTTTATTGCATGTGTGGCAGTTGTATGAAATTTTTTGTATTAAAACTAACTTGGGGGAGGGGGGGGGGTTGAACAGTTTTATAAACATGTCATCAGTCAATCTGACATCAGTTCTGTAGTTTTCTTTCACGTTCTTTGATGCTCATTGTTTTGTTTACTTTTTATTTTGTGTGAACCTAAAAGAGCATCGAGGTAGTAGACTTAATAAAGTGAACTACTGCATCACATAATTATGCCTATGCAACAGCAACAACAGGGCTCTTCACTTACTGTCAGTGGAGCTTTGATTGACCCGAAACATGCAAAAAAAAGTCGGATTGGTGGCTATGCGCCTTTATGATGACGCTCCTGCTTGTAAGCGTATGTTTTGAAAGGAAGTACTTAAGACTATAGATCAAGGTTTGCGTCTAAAGATTATTGTATTACATTTTTAAGAAACCATGAACAAATCATTGAAAGCTTCTATAACTTTTATTTTACTGACCGTAGCGCTTCAAGTTATACCATACAATGTATTTTAAAATCTGTGGTGCCCATACTTGGACTGCCGACAACACTGGTGTTTCATTGACACAGAATTCAATGCAGGAAACTGTTTTTTTTGCCAGTAGCGAACCACATTTTTATTCTTTGAAATTATACTAATGGGGTTCTGAAAAATTTTTCGCTATTTCAGATCGATATATTGTTTCTTTTAAGTGTACTGTTAGCTTCACTTGTGCACTGGTGTTTCATTGACACGAAATTCAATGCAGGAGACAGTTTTTTTGCCAGTAGGAAATCACATTTTTATTCTTTGAAATAATGCTAATATGGCTTTAAAAACGCCCCGCTATTTCAGATCGAATTATTGTTTCTTTTAAGTGTACCTTTAACTTCATTTGTGCCCAATAAATCTTTACACAGAGTTTTTTAATGATTGATTTGAGAACATTGCCTGTGCCGGCCATGTGCTTTGTGGCATGCACGCAGCCTCGGTGGAAAAGGTGGCCGTACACCAGCTGCTCATGAACCTCAAGAAGACCGACGCGCATCGTCAGATCAAAAGGAAAGTGCGCTCCATTGTGCGCAATGCCAAGGTGCTGGCTGAACCCTTGCCCCTACCTCAACAACGGAGGGTAAGTGAAATGCACGGCCAAGCTAACCGTTGCTGCATATCAGTAATTTTCTCTGACATTTACAAAAAATCTGACTCCTACTTGAATGATTGCGCGTCATGTTTTATGTGAGGTCCAGAACCAACATAATTTAATATTAAGCTAGGCCTTTATGTTATGTGAAAATGCATTCATACATACATTCATGAAAGTCACTTCTGTGTTCTCTGTTTCGCATAGCTACACAAGATAGCTTTGCATTTTGACAGATGTAAAATTATCATCTGATTCAGTAGCTTTTAGGGACTTGTTTTTTGAGCTAGGAAAGCAAAGAAATGGCATATAAGGCCAGAAAAGTAGACAGTGCACATGACACTTAAAAAGGGCTCGTTTACATCTGTAATACAGGTTCTTTTTATGTTAATAAGAACTCTCTAGGTTTGAGCCTGTTAGATTCTCAAAGAAGGACAAAGCCATTGGTGTGTAACACAAAACCCACACAAAAAGTTTAATTAAAAAGCAAAGACAGGAAAATCCTGTCAAAACGAACTGCTTAATAAAAAGTTGACTGCATACGGTAAAGCGTTCTTAACTACAAACACAACACAATTTCGGTTAATACAGCTAAACTACACAGTTCGAACGCAAATGAGCGGTGGACTGGAGAATGGTGTGAGTTCCGTCTCACTAACCATGCAGAGGCTTGGCTCTTAGAGTTGTAGACGCGGGTTCGCTGGTCATGGCGAAGTAACGCTCGCGACTGGGCAATACGTTGAAAAACAAGGAAACTTGGGCAGGCAGCTCGATGCACAGCTCGGGCCCGTAGCCCGACGGCTGGTGCTCACCTGTCGTAACCGAAGTCCGCAGGCCCTGTGCTTAAGTTCAGGACCGGATGGCCGCGTTTCTCTTGAGCGGGAATGCGGCGACAAGAGGCCCCGGCCGTCTGAAGTCTTTAAGGCTCGGGTTCGACACCCAACAGCCCATCTTTAGCGCCCAGCGCGGTGACAGCCTTCAGCTTGCCACGTCCTCTTTGAACTCCCTTTGCTCTTTCTTCTTCAGGCTTCTGCTTCAGCTATGGCCCACTTATCCCGTCCTATTTGGAGTTTGCTAGTCCAGCGTGTTGGCTCGTGATTGACCCTCGCTTTTTTTTTATATTTTTACCGTTGCGCCACCCGTCCTCGTGTGCGACGCCCTTCAACGTTGTCATTCTCGTTAGAGCAGAAGTGCGCAAGCACTCAATCAGGTCTTCTTCTTTGTGTCGCGCACTTCAAAAGCGCACCACACTCGTGACATCTTGCCATGTTGCACTCCGCTGTTTCTTTGCTCCCAAGCTTTGTGATAGTAGTACATGGTTACAACACAAAGGAAGGAGGAATAGAAATATAAAAAAATATGGCAATGGTGCTGGATGCCAACTGGCATTATAGTACTACACAAATGATGAGCTGGAAGGGCTGACATCGTCTTCAAAATTTTGAAGGTGCACGTAGTACACTCACACACTGGCAGATCCAGCTAGTTTTATTCCCTCTCTCCTTTATCTCTTGTATGAAGCACTTCCACCTCTACACATACATGTACACACGCATACATATACGCGTGCTGTATTCTCATTTAAGGTTACACACAGACGCGTACATCTAGCGTCATCACTGTGTAAAGTGAAAGCCAAACGGACCAGACGAACCTGGCGGGAGTATTTTTTCCAAACTCGCTGCCCAAGCATGGAGGAGAAAATGAATGATGTGATGGTTATCTGTGCAAACAACAATGATGAATTAGGTTAGTAGTGCTTGCAATATTACTATAAACATATGGCGCTCTCTCTAGCTTGGTAGGTTTTCATGGCAGTGTCTTGGTGTTTGGTGTGAAAGCCATGTGTTTGGCATCCATAGTTGTACTATATCTCGAGACTTTGTAATCGTGTGTGAGTCTTGCCACTCTTGCTGCTTTGTGTGATGTGAGATTTTCGGCATTTTTTTTTTCATTTCAGGTGCAGCGTCAGGTTGCATATGAAAAGGTCGGCGAGGAAATCACTGTGTGGGAGCCCGTGGTTAGACAGAACCGTGTGGTAAGGACAATTGTTGTCTGATGTTTGTAGTTGTACGGTTAATATAGTGTTTTTTCTTTTTCTCTGCTTTATAGTTTTCCTACAATTAGTTGCATATGAATACATAAAACGCGTCAACACCTTCCCACTGTGAACTAGCGTGTATCACAGTTTCTAACTGCAGAATGCACATAGTACTATATGTTGACACCGTGTCTTCTTTTTTATAAATGGTACTACAAAATGTTCACTTTTTCTATTAGTAGTATGAAGTGTGTTGTTTAATATCGTTGCGTTGATAACTGTTCCCCATGGTAACCCCTGAGTATAGTACAACATATAGTGAGGCCTATTTAATACGAGTTCTTTAAGCACCTATAGACACCTCCTCATGGCCTTGAGAATACCATCTCGTTTGCGTATATTGCCTCATTTTTTTTAATGGATGCCAAAAAAGAAAAGCTGTCTTGATACATGTCACAGTTACATGTTTCAGAAATTTACCTTTTTTTAACCTTTCCGCCACCTTGCGAGATTCTGCAGGACTGATTTACAATATGTAGTCACATATTTTGTGCTGTATTTCGACGAAAATAAGGCCCTCCAAATTGATGACGGCACGTTCAGTACATTCACTGTGTAAATTTTGTTAGCGACTTTATTTACTTTCGTGATTCCAACAAAGATGTGTTACTGTAAATGATGCTACTCTCAGTGCACGTCTGGGCATGTCAAGAAGTTTATATTTAATGCATATTTTTAGTGCATTCGGGTTGTGGGAACAGGCAGTTTCTGAGCCAGCTTCCTCGTAGGAATGTAGTATTCATTATGTTGTGCATCTAGATGCAATTGTATCAAATACATGTTTTAATATTGTTACGGTGCATCATCGACAGGAGCTGATAGAGCTTTGAGAGTATGCAAGAGAAGGAGCGTGCACGTGCCGGAAGTAACTCATCTTCAATTTCATTCCAGGCCAAACAGCTGCGCTTTCCACTCAAGCAGCCCGAAATGAGAATGGAATCTGCGGCTAAATTTGTTCAGCGCTTTGAGGTGAATTTTTCAATGCACTTATTAGATATATTTTTTTTTACTCCAGTTATGTACGTAGGAAGTCAGCTTTTAGGGCACGCTTGCCTGGTGACATCGGCATGCAAAATTCGTTAGCATTAAGAAAAGTTTTGGCTCATTCACCAGTGAAACTTCACAGCTCCTGATGGAGAAAATATATCATGTACTAATGAAACAAGATAATATTATGGGCATATCACAGGACAAGACAGAGTTTTTATTGCTTTGCATCTGTTTATTATTGCATCATTGTAATTTTGCAGTGAACAGTAAGCTCCGCAAAATATTGCCAGCATACCACAAAACTCATTTAAATCTATCACCAGCAGTGCTCAAAGCTACTTGTTGGTATCTGCAAAATAACCCCATGAAAGTAGCTATTGTAAAACACCATTTATACACTGATTGAGCTAGCACCTTAATTTATTTTACAAGAAAATGAATGCAGGAACCACCCATTCTTTAGAATCTAATGTAAACGACGAGTTTTTGCACGGCATCGGCATACTTTGTAAGCATATAGGCGGTTTTGCTTTTGTGCTCGATTTTGATTTTCAGCTACATTTTTATTCAGCGGCTTTAGTGATTGCTATCACTTTTGCACACTTTCATGCGACTTGGCACCACATATCTACACAAATGTTCATAAACCCACGCAGTTCTTGAAACATTTTTCCACTTAAACACTGAGTTAGTTAATTATATCCCTTCTGTGAGCTTAAATGTCTTAATTTCTTTTCTCTTTCTCTTCTTCACCCAAAGGAGAAGTATTGCTACATTGGTCTCTCATAAATGAGAAACACATTACGCTTACGTGCATTGTTATTTACTTTCAACCTGCCAAAATAGGGCGCACGCTGCATTTTTATAAATGTGGTAGTAAGCGAGCACGAAGAAACTATTGACAAGAGAAAAAAAACAAAGAAGAGGTGTAGCTGTTCTGTATAAACAAATTAGTTGTTCTTTGTGTCGTTACTTTCTTTGGCATTTCCATTTTAACCTGCTAACGCTCTGTATTTCAGCCAAAGACTGACCTTGAACGACAAATAAACAAGATCTTGAAGGTCAGTGAAAATGTCACGCCACCAGGAGCTGAACTGACGCCAGCCGAAGAGAAAGCCCTCAAGGCCATGAGCTTGGAAGAAGTGAGTGCTCCGTTAAGGCATATTGTTACATACAATCCAAATGATGTACGAATAACTGTTTATTGGGGCTAACTTGTGCCCTAAAAGTAAAGGAAAATGTAGCGGCGTTTCCAACAGGCGATCAGCAAAAGGAGATCAATCTCCGAGAAACCCTCGAGCGGTGCACCACTTCTTTTTCATCAAAATCCCGTGCTGAGGAGGCGCGCGCCGTCACGGCCTTTTCTTGTTTCATCATGAACTCGCTGGTCTCTTGGGGAGCGCACGAACTAGCGCGCATAGTTTGAATACTGCGCTTGCCTTGCGTCATTATCCCTCCTCCAAAAACGCATCGTCCCGATGCGTAAAAGCAGTGTTGCTGAGGTGGTCTGAATGCGTGGTTTCCATTGGAGAAATAGGTATTCCTCATGATCGGGTGTGTACAGTTTGATGTTCATTGCCTGTCATAGTATGGCTTCATTCTGACTACATGCACGATTTCTGTGCTCTTTCGGCATCGTGATGAGCTCACTTGTCCTTCCGGTGACACCTCGTAGTTCAAGGAGCCGACGCGACGAAGGACTCGGTAAGGGCCAAAATAGCGGCGCATGAGCTTTTCGGAAAGGCCAGGCGTCTGCACGGGAGTCCAAATCCAAACTCGGTCGCCTGGTGCGTAGTCGGCTCCTCTCCGACGAAGGTTGTAACGGTTTGCATCCACGCGTTGTTGTTGTTTTATGTGATGTCGCGCCAACTGCCGTGCTTCTTCGGCTCGCTGAATAAATTCGCTGATGTCAGGCTTGTGCTCTGTATTGTCGCCTACAGGCAGCATTGCATCTAATGGTGTGGTAACTATTCGACCATAGACTAGCTGGAATGGCGTCACTTTAGTAGTCTCCTGCACAGCAGTACTGTAAGCGAAAGTGGCGTACGGCAGTATCTTGTCCCACGTACGGTGCTCCAAGTCAACGTAAATGGACAACATATTGGCTAGAGATCTGTTGAGTCGCTCGGTTAGCCCATTTGTTTGGGGGTGGTAAGCAGTTGTTTTCCTATGACGTGTGGGTAAGTTTCATAATGGACTGCGTCAGATTGGCTGTGAATGCAGTTCTTCGATTTCTGATAACCACTTTTGGGGCACCATGCCGTAGTACAATGTTAGTGACGAAAAATTCAGAGACTTCTATAGCCGTGCCCCTGGTGAGAGAGGCCGTCTCGGCATACCGGGTTAAGTAGTCTGTCGCCACTACTATCCATCGGTTGCCCATTGATGACGTAGGATATGGACCAAGTAGATCCATTCCTACTTGTTCAAACGGAGATTCAGGTGGTTCGATTGATTGGAGAAATCCTGCAGCTTTCAATGGAGGCGTTTTGCGTCTCTGGCAATCTCTACATGTCCTTACATAATGCTGTACAGCATCCAGTAACTTTGGCCAGTAGTACTTGGTGCGGATGCGAGCCAATGTTCTACTCACTCCGAAGTGTCCTGCTGCGGGGTCATCGTGGCAGGCTTCCAGGATTTCGGGTCGCAAGGTCGAAGGAACGACGAGTAGGAATTTCTCCCTGCTGTGCTCGAAGTTTCTCTTGTATAAAACGTTGTTTCTCATCAGGTACGAGGACAATCCCCGGACGAAAACTCGAGGAACACGCACGGGTTGCCCTTCCAGATGCTTGATCAGTTTAAGCAACTCCGTGTCAGATCGTTGATATTCAGTCATGTCTGCGGTGCTGACGGCCCCAAGAAACGGAAAGTCGTCTCCATTTTTCACAGGTGCAGATTCCATTGGTGTGCGTGACAGGCAATCAGCATCGCTGTTCTTGCGACCCGACTTGTATACGACTGTTATGTCGTATTCTTGCAACCTGAGGCTCCATCTAGCAAGTCGCCCAGAAGGGTTCTTTAGGCCTGCGAGCCAGCACAGCGAGTGATGTTCGCTCACTGCTCGAAATGGTCTACCATATAAATACGGTCAGAATTTCTGTATGGCCCACATTACCGCCAGACATTCTTTTTCCGTCGCCGCATAATTTATTTCAGCTCTCGAAAGAGTGCGACTAGCATATGCGACCACTCTTTCCTCTCCGTTTTGCAGCTGCACAAGGACAGCGCCTAGTCCCAAATTGCTTGCGTCTGTGTGAATCTCTGTTTCGGCTTCTTCGTGGAAATGTGCCAGGACGGGGTGGTTTAGGAGTCGCTGTCGTAGCTGATTGAACGCGTCTTCTTGCTCGCTTGTCCAGGTGAAAGGCATGTCTTGTTTCATCAGTCGGGTTAGTGATTCCGCAATCTTCGAAAAATCTTTGATAAATCTACTGTAATAGGCACAAAGTCCTAAGAATCGTCTCACAGCCCTTTTATCCGTCGGTCTAGGAAACTTTTCTACAGCTGCTGTCTTTACGGGGTCAGGTCGAATGCCTTCAGAGCTAACCACATGATCGAGGAAAAGCAGTTCATGAAAACCAAAATGGCACTTTTGGGGTTTTATCGTCAGCCCTGCTGAACTAATCGCTTCGAGCACAGTCCGTAGTGGTTCCACATGCTGATCGAAGGTGGCCGAAAAGATCACAACGTCATCGAGATAAACAAGGCAGGACTGCCATTTTAACCCGGACAGCACAGTATCCATCATCTGCTGTAATGTGGCGGGTGCGAACACAGGCCAAATGGGAGTACCTTGAACTTGTATAACCCATCTGGGGTCACGAAAGCAGTTTTCTCGCGATCTCGTTCGTCCACGCCTATCTGCCATTATCCACTCTTGAGGTCTAGAGAGGAGAAGAATTTCGCGTCTCGTAGTTTGTCAAGGGTGTCACCGATCCTTGGAAGGGGATAGACATCCCGCTTTGTGACGACGTTCAATTTTCGGTAGTCAACGCAGAAGCGCAAGCTCTGGTCCTTTTTCTTTACCAGTACTACAGGTGAGGCCCATGGGCTGGCCGACCGTTGAATTACGTCGTCCCGGAGCATTTCTTCAACTTGGCCTCTGATGATTTCTCTCTCTTTTGGTGACACTCGGTACGGGTGCTGGCAAATAGGTCTAACAGATTGATCAATTATGATGCGGTGTTTGGTGATAGATGTTCTTTGCACTTTCGATGACGTGGAAAAACATGAGGCGTACTCCCGTATAAGGCTCTCGATTTTTTGTTTCTGGTTTGGTGATAGGGCTGCTTCGATGTGGATAGATGCGAGTATGGAATCTATACTGTCAGGGTGTAGTGGTGCAGTCTCGGAAGAATTTAAATCCGTAATTGGAACGTAATCGTGTAAGTGGCCAACAGCAGTTCCCTTCGCAAGATGCTGCACCTCATTTTGGAAATTTGTCAGGAAGACACTCGTACACCCATCACGCAGTCATACAATACCTCTTGCTGCACAGATCCCTTTCTCGAGTAATAGCCCAGTATTGCTTTCTGCCATTCCATCATAGTCGTTGTACACATTGCTTTTTACGCTGACAACGATGATGGATCTTGCAGGTACCGTTACATCATCACCGGCAATCTGGAGCGCATCGAATCGTTTTTCACTCTCGAATGTCTCGATGGCGTGTTTCGCCGAGAACGAGACGCACGTTTCCTGCAAGTTTATCACTGCGCCATTGGTCTGCAAAAAGTTCATTCCGATAATTGCATCTCTTAAACACTCTGACAGCACAATGAAGCTGGCGACGTAGGTGAAGCCGCGTATCCCGACTCTAGAGGTACACATGCCTGCCGGATCGATAAGGTGTCCCCCGGCGGTTCGCACTTGTGGTCCTATCCAAGGGGTCAGCACTTTTTTCAGCGTTCTGGCAAGTCCCCTGCTCATGACGGAATAGTTTGCGCCTGTGTCTACCAAAGCATTCGTTTCGTAGCCGTCTATAATTACCGACAAATCAGAAGCGACGTTACCGTTTCTGCACGTAGTCTCGTGTCCATCATCACATTTTGAAATCGGCACTGGAGGTTGTTTTCTTGCGTCGGCAGCGGCCTTACCTCCCCAGGTCGCCATTCTAGTTTTCCCGAAGCGGGCTTTGGGGAAGTCGCCTCGGAGAGTTTGAAGATGGGCGCGGACTTGGTGACCGATACCTCAGTGGCGCTGTCGACCGAGACTGATGCTGCTGCGAGGAGTGAGCACCTTGACGCGTTGACAAGTACTCCTCGATTTCCAAAGGTCGCTCCCCATTCCGTGGATAGGCAGCGTTTACGGGAAAACCCCGAAGTCCAGCTCGGCGATATTCACACATCCGGTAAAGATGGCCAGCTTTGCTGCAGTGATAACAAAGCGGAATTCGATGTTATCATAAAAGAAACAAAGCGGAATTCGATATTATCATCGAATTGCGCCATATATCAGTTTTTCGGATCCTAGTCTTGGCTGGGGACGGCGTAAATCGAGGTTTCGGCAGATGCGTGCTTGCTGCGGTGAAATAAGGTCCAGGGGCGACGAAATGGGGTACAACAGGGGCGCCTCTCAGCACCTCGGTGTACGAGATTGCGGGCTGCATCGGAATCGACGCTTGAACAGACTGGGCTTGTGGCTGCTGCTCACGGTCTGCCTGTCTCACCTCCTCCCGAACAACTTCCGCTAATGACGAGACCGTTGAGGGGTTGCCGTATAGCTTCTAAAGCTCTTCTCGAACCACCGATCGAATGAGTTCTCATAATACGTCGATGCCATTCTCGAAGACTGCTGACACCGCGTCTACAGATGCGACGTTAACATCTCGATTATAGTGCCTCGCTCGCTGTTGCAGAGTCTTTTCAACCGCTGTCGCCTCGGTGCGAAATTCAGCGACCTTCCACGGGGGGCATCGGAGCAAACCAGCAAAAATCTCTTGCTTCACCCCACGCATCAGGTGACGAAGTTTCTTGTCCTCGCTCATATTTTGATCAGACCGGCGGAATAACCGGCACATGTCTTCCACATACATTGCGACGCTTTCATTGTTGCGCTGGTTTCTTGCTTGCAAGGCAGCTTCAGCTCTTTCCTTGCAGTCTGTACTCGGGTATGTGGCCAGTAGCTTCCGTCGGAAATCATCCCA